TCCCGGCCCAACACCCAAGAGGTAACCAGTGGCTCCCTGCCGCTCGGCCTTTCTCAGCCTGAAAGGTGAGCGCCACCTGCTGGACTGAGCCTGTCTTCCTGTGGCTTTTTAGGCAGTTGCGATCAAGTTGAACCAGACAGCCCTGCAGGCAGTGACGCCCATTACAAGTTTTGGGAAAAAACAAGACAGCTCCTGCCCCAGGTAACTACAGGACAAAGGAAAACTAGTTTGGGGGGAGCCAAACTAGGTATAATTTCACATGAGTTGTTAACCTAATCCTCACAAACCAGCTAGGGTTGTCGTCCAGCCCAGTTTACGGAGCAGTAACTGTGACTGGGAAAGGCGGGAGGCTCTGCCCAAGCCCGCACTGCCGATGGACGGCGCCACAGGATTCGGGCCTGCCAACTGCAGCAGCTCGGACTTGCACCAAGGGGGTCCTGCCAGGCAGTTTCTCCAGCACATTTTCAGTCTGCATCAACAAAGCAGTGTGACCAAAGCAAGAATTATTCTTCTAAATAAGGAACAAAATCACCTTTTCTGTCCATGGCCTTATCTGCACACATATCGGTATTTTCATATGTACATTTAGAATACACTTTTGACCTATGTGTTTTTAAATATGTCTATATATTTCATAATTGTTTCTTTTTAATGACTACACATTATTCCCTCATTACTCGCAATTGCATATTTAGGTTATCTCCCCTTCCTTTGTTATCATTTACAGTGAACATTTCCAGGCACACATACGCCTCTTCTTGTTTGGTGCTGCTTTAGGATTTAATCCAGGAATCCCACCATTCTTCGTAAGGGGGTTTCTATTTGGATCAGTAGTGGAGGCGCATAGTACTGGGTATGCTCATGGAAACCGGGCACTCCAGGGCAAGTGAACATGACCATTTGGTGTCCATCATTTAGGGGCACCGTGGGAAGAACCCCACACTCTCTTCATGCATGTATTTAACGACCCCAAGAGGAAGTCATTGGGAAGCCCCAAGTGGTCACGTACCTGCCCCGGTCTTACTGCTATGCGTGTGGAGCCCAGGTTCACCCAGCTGGCCCTGGGCACCTAAGAAGGAAGTGTAGACGGCCATGCCAGCACACAGGTTGGAGTCTGAGGGTGAAAGGCTTGGATGTCCCCTTAGAAGTTCCAGACATGGGGACCAGCAGTTAGCGTAATGGCTGTGTCACTGAACTCCCATGTAGTTGACCGCAGTTCGAGTCCCGGAACCAGTGGCTTAAAACTCATGCTGTGTGTGCGTGCATGCCCAAGATCTCGAGAGGAGAATGGAGGAGAAGGGATTGCGGTGTGGCCATCCCCCTTGGGGGGTGATTTCTCGCTTTCTGTCTCTCTGTCTTTCTCTGTCTTTCTGGCGAGCGTACACACCCTATAGCAAAAACCTCTCCAAAAAAAGGAAATAAAAAAAAAAGAAGTTCCAGACATGGAGCAGAGCTGGAGGGTGGCAGTCAGCAGCAGGGGTAGAGACTGCTCTGCAGCCTCCTGAAGGTAAACTGGGTAGGGACAGGTGGGGTGGGGAGACCCAACAGGGTAATGGCTGGGTGGGCTGTGAAATGGAGCACGAGAACCTGAAGGAAGGTACTAAAACAGGAAAACAGTAACATGTCTTGAGAACATTTCATTAATAATTTCAGGATTTGGGCTAGCAGGTGCGTGGTGGTTAGGGTGCTGGACTTCTCTCATGGGCAACCATAGTTCAGGCCCAGACTTGGTGGCTTGCTTTCTCATTCTCCCTTTCTCTCTCACTTTGGTCAAATTAATAATAACAAGTTAAATAATTTAATTAATAATTTAAGGATTTAACCACATATACAAGTAGGGTGTGTAAGTGCAATTCTAAAGAAAGCACCAGGTATGGGAAGAGAACGGGCATAAAGATCCAGTCAGTGGAGGTGACCTCTTAGCCTTCTCCTGAGTAAATGTGTCTGTCTTCTCTGTAAATGGGGGATGGGCACAGCAGAGAGCACAGACTCGGGGTTCGGAGCCGTGGCTCTCCTAAGAGCTCAGCCAGCAGGTGCTTGGTTCGCTGTCCTTGGGGAGGTCGTCAGCTCAGCTCTCAGGCCTTTGTCACCGAACGTGTGACATGAGACGAGAAATAAGCTGACCTCGTGGTGTCCTTCCTAGCTCAAGTGCTATGTTTCTGGGTGCAGATGTGGTTTGACTAGTGTTAGCAATTAGCAGGTAGGATTGGTTTTCTAGAAAACATAATATGCAACTCAGTTAATTATTCATTAACTCATTCTTCTTCCCTCCCTTGTTATGGGAAAAAGTAAATAAAGAATAAGTAAGTCACATTATTAGACAAAAAGGATCCCACAGATGGGACACAGAATCCTTGGAGGTAAAAAAAGGGAGGGGGAAGGAGTCTAGCCAGTCAGCTGAATCAGCCCAGAGGCCAGAAGGCTGCCAGAGAGCCCAGAGCTGTGCAGGAGAGGTACTACTGTCTCTCTCAGGCTCAGCTCACTAAGAATAAGGAAAATTTTTTTTTTCTTAGTAACCATGGGGGAAAGCAGCAGAGAAACTGTGTTCTTGGGAACACATGGCCATTTACTGCTAACAAATTCCATGTGGCCCTCCCTCATCTCGCAGCAGTTCTCTCTCTTCCGGTGAGCGCAGACTGGCCTAGGTAATGCATCTCCCAGATGAATGAGGGAGGACGGGAAAGCCAGCAGGTACTTTAGCTAAAACAAGGAAGAGCGCCATGATGGGAATGAGCAGGCTGCTGTCAAGGAGAGTACACGGGCCTGTGCAGGGCCTGCCTGTGCACACTGGCTTCAAACCGAAAAGTCAAAGATGGAAGTAGCCACTTCGGCAGAGCCAGAGGTAGTGTGTTCCAGTAGCCATTACGGGGGCCATGGGGCGGAGTTCAGCGTCTTTGAGGAACTGAATGGAGACCAATAAAATTGGACCGTGGTGGACAGAGGAGATCTTGGAGCAAGATGAGGTTAGGCAGGGGGGGATGGGGGATCACAAAGGAACTGTGGTCAGGAGCTTGGGGGAGCTGTGGGAGGGTGTTGAGGTGTGGGGGCAGAGGGAGAGACCCACTTCCCCTTTTCCAAAGTTGGCACTGGCTGCTCTGGAGAACACAGAACACAGAGCTGCTGTGTATCCGTGGTCCAAGGGAGAGGACAGTAGCGTAGGCCAGGATCATGGCAGAGGAGAGAAAAGTGGGTGGCTTTGGACTTACTTTGGAGGTAAAACCTATAGGGCTTGTAAGGGATGTGGAAAAGGAAAAGAATACGGCAAAGGATAATCCGTCTAGGCTGAGCACCTGGCAGATGGTGGTGGTACTTAAAGAGATGAGGAAGAAACCAGAAGGGGATCATTTCAAGGAACAGAGGTCAGTTATGCAAGACGCTTTGAGAAGTCAGGATGGTGACACGGAGACCACAGGTGATGCTTTACATCATGCCACGCCTCTGTTGAGTCTCCAGTGACTCCCTGCACTGGAGTCAAATTTACACCCCCCCTCCCCCAGATGGCATTAAGTCCTCTACAGCCTGGACATACCCTCTCTTGACTGTGCCCTGTCCCATCTTGTATTTCTGTTGGTAAAGCTTAGATCAGCATTAAACATATTCACTTGATTGTAAAGGCATAATGCTAAGAGGAATTTGATTTTGTTTTTCCTATTTTATACTTCAGCCAGACTGTGAAAAATGCAGAGGTGGAAAATGACAAGATAGTTCCCAAAGCAACAGTCAGTGCTCCCGAAGCAGAAGAACTGATTGCACCTGGAACACCTATTCAATTTGATATTGTCCTTCCTGCTACAGAATTCCTTGACCAGAACAGGGGGAGCAGGTACGGGGCTGGGAGGACAGATTAGCTATGGGAGAAATGAAAATAAATTTGATGTCTCATGTCCTCTCCACTACCAAGACTGTGTGTCATTCTGACTGAGAGCGCTAAGTGTACACAGGGACTTCAAAAAGTCTGTGGAGGGACCAGCAGTTAGCATAATGGCTGTCGCTGGACTCCCAGGTAGTCGGCTGTGGTTCGAGTCCCGGACCCAGTGGCTTGAAACTCACACCAGGTGCATGTACGTGCGTGCCCAACATTCTGAGAGGAGAGTGAAGGAGAAAGGGATTGTGGCGTGGCCATCCCCCCTGGGGGGTGTTTCTCGCTTTCTGTATCTCTGTCTGTCTCTGTCTGTCTGGCGAGCGCATGCACCCTACAGCAAAAACCTCTCAAAAAAAAAAAAAAAAAAAGTCTGGAAAAATGGAGTTTAAGTATGAGTTTATTTTGGTGCAAAAAAGAAATCCAGGGACCAGCAGACGGCATAATGGTTATGTCACTGGACCCCCATGTGGTCGACGGCAGTTCAAGCCCCAGACCCAGTAGCTCAAAACTCACGCCAGGCACCTGTGTGTGCATGCCCAGAATCCTGAGAGGAGAATGGAGAATGGAGAAGGGATTGCAGTATGGCCATCCCCCCTGGGGGGATGATTTCTCACTTTCTGTCTCTGTCTGTCTCTGTCTCTTCAGTGAGTGCATGCACCCTATAGCAAAAAAATCCCTTAAAAAATGCAAACACCTGCTATTTTTTTTTCATAATATGCATTTTCCATAAACTTTTTAAGGACCCTTTAGGATCTTAACCACACCATCATGACTCTCTGGCTATTCCCCTAGGCGAACCAACCCTTTTGGTGAAACTGAGGATGACTCATTTCCAGAAGCAGAGGGTAAGTGGCTAATTTGCTGTGCTTATCCTACCCTCTCCACAGAATAAGGACCAGACCTTGAAATCAGGTGTGGAACTGTGTTCTAGAGATTGGATTTAGAATGTGAATTGAAGTTATGACCTGCAGGTTTGTTTTTCTCTGAAATTGTAACAGGACACGTGTAATGAGGGCAGGCCTTGAATAAAAACTGAGGGATAACCAGAGTTCCTACAGCTAATTCCCACCAGTACACCTGTACCCTTAGTGTAACCCTTGCACAGAAATGTTGCCAAATTGGAATCTCTTATCACATTCCTAAAAAACAAATTCAAAGATAGAATAGCCACGTTACAGTGTGGCCCCGTGAACCATAAATATTACACTATTTCATTTTAGAAAACCAAGAGCACAAACAACCCTAATTTTTAAAGAATTATTTAATTTTATTTATTACTACTTTTTAAATTTGCTATGGGCATATGTACTCATCAGAGAGAAACAGAGAGAGGGAAAATGAGAAAGCAAACCACCAGGTCTGGGACTCAAACCACAATTAGCCATGTGGGAGTCCAGTGTTCTAACCACCATACCATCTGCTAGCCCCAATAACCCCATTCTTGGATTGGAAGATAACATAAATAAGTAATATTTAAGTTGCTCAAATTCCAACTATTTGATTTCTATTCTTACGTGTTTAAGAACGTGCCCAGTGGAGCAGACCATAATATACTCAACTGAGCAGATTGAGTTCCCAGCCAAGGCAGTCAAGTGACTAGGAGTGCTAACAGGACTTCATGGGGTACAGCTTCTTCACTAGAATTTGAGAGCATCAAGAAGAAAGCAACCTCATTTATTTGAATTTAAAAGTAGGACTTGAAGGGCTAGCAGGTGGCATGGTGGTTGGGGCTCTGGACTCCCCCATGGCTGACCGCAGTGCAAGTCCTGGACCCAGTGGCTTGAAATTCATGCCAGGCATGTGTGCATGTGAACCCAAAATCCCAGGAAGAGAATGGAGGAGAGGCAGTTGTGGCATGGCCATCCCCTAGGGGGTGACTTCTCACTTTCTCACTGTCTCTATTTTTCTGGCAAGTCAACGTACCCTATGGCCAAAACCTTAAAAAAAAAAAAAATTGTTTAAAAGTAGGACTTGAAGGTTAGCATTCCTTACAGCTTTAGGGTGTGTGTGTAGGGTGTTGTTTCTTAATGATGTTAATAGGCTGTGCTTCAAAATCCTACTGTAAGAGTTCACAGAATAAGCTGTCTTCATATGGGAGTAACCATTTAGAACATTATCATTAGTTTTATTTTCCTAATAATTTTTTTAGCCCATAAGTTATTTTTAGGGGCAAGAGAGGAAAAAGAGAGGCTTCTCAATTTAAACTGCTGGGTAAGTTGGCCCAGCTGTGGTAGTGCACACTACAGGAGGCCTGGGTTTGATTCCTAGTCCAGCTTGAAAAGCCAGGCGCTGGGGCTGGCAGGTGGCATGGTGGTTAAGGGCCCTGGATTCCCACATGGCTGACCATGGTTCAAGTCCTGGACCTGGTGTCTTGCTTTCTCACTTTCCCTTTCTGTCTGGTGAAATTTAAAAATAATAAATAAAGGGAATAATTATTTCAAAAAAAAAAAAAAAAGGCCAGGCACAGTCGTGTGTTGCCTGCAGCCCCAGCTATTCAGAAGCTAAGAAAGGAGAGGGAGACACAGCAAGACCTTTCTTTAACTAGAACAAGGAAAAAAAAAAAAAGATCTTTTAAACATTCTTTCTGATTTTCTAGTTGTGATTGTTTAGTCTCAAATTCCATACCATTATCAAGAGGCCAAAACTGGCACTCATTAGAGTCAATAAGCTAATTAGTTAAAGGTGTCCATTAATTTACTACATGTCACCACTGGCCTTCGCTATGATGTGTGAACTGAATGCAAACCAACATCAGGTCTTTTCTCTTTCTATAGGAGAACTTTCTCAGTGGGCCAAAATCTTGAATTTTCTATTGTCTTAGTGGGAAAGCTTTTGAGAGAAAAGGAAGAAATGTATGTACTGTCACCATGTCACCTGGGACAGAAGGGTGTTCATCTGGTACCACTGTCATCACACATTAGACTTTCTAGTCTAACAAAGTAGTTCCAAACCAACCAGTGAAATGTAGACTCACAGGGTTGGTGATGCTGTATTTATAAAGCTGTCCTGAGAAATTCTGATGGAATGTTGTCCAGAGAAAACAAAATCTGAGGCCTCAGCCTGCTCTCAGACCACCATGCCTGACGGGGATGCAGAGCAGCCAGAGAAAGAAGTAAATTCAATACTGAGCAGAAAATGCTTATTTATTTATTTTTTTCAGATTCTCTTTTGCAACAGATGTTTATAGTTCGGTTTTTGGGATCAATGGCAGTTAAGACAGACAGCACTACAGAAGTGATTTATGAAGCAATGAGGCAAGTTCTTGCTGCTCGGGCCATTCACAACATCTTCCGGATGACAGAATCCCATCTGATGGTCACCAGTCAGACCCTGAGGTACGGTTTCATTTCCAGACTTTCTTGCAGCTTCACTGACTCACTGACTCCCTTTTAAAGCTATATTCACCCATCTGGAATGTTATTGCTGAGATATTTTATTGGGCTTAATTAAGATAATACTCCTCTTTTGCCACTCCCCTTTTTACATTTCAATTTTATAAAGTAGAGAGGACAGAAGGTTCATAAAGATGCCATTATTCAGGAGTTATTCTGTTATATCTCAGAACTTGAAAATGGAAAGGTTTGGGTTTTTTCTTTTAATTAATTTGCCAGAGGGTGCATGTGCCTGCCAGAGGTGGGGGCAATAAGAAAGCACCCCACCCCACCCCCCACCCCCATCAGGAATGGTTATGCATCAGTCCCTTTTCCTCCATCTCTTCCTCCTTTCAGGATTTTGGGCATGCATGCACATACACCTGGTGTTGTTTCTCATGCTTCTGTGTCTCAAACCACACAGCTGGCCATGTGGGATCCAGCTGCCTTAACCACTATACCATGGGCTGAACCTGTTTTTTTTTTTTTTGTTTTTTTGTTTTTCATTTCTTAGAATGCTTCTGAAATTAGCAGCAATAAAGGGCCAGCAGGGAGCATGGTTAAGGTGCTGTGCTTCCATAGGGTTGGCCATGGTTTGAATTCCAGACCTTGTGGCTTGAAAATCACACCAGGTGTGTATGTGCGCCTGTGTGCCCAGAATCCCGAGAGCCCAGGATCCTGAAACAATGGAAGAGAAGGGATTGTGGCATGATTTTGCACTTTCCCTCTCGGTGAATCTTTCTGGCAAGCACATGTGCACTATGGCAAAAACCTTTATAAAAAAAAAAAGGGACATAAACAAAGGTAAGATGTAAAGCTTTATAGTTTAACGTTCCACACACATTTTCTCATTAACTGTTATAACTGGCTCTTCGAAGTGGGGTTCTTACCATAGATTTATAGAGGAAGCACTTGGAAGAACTCTAAGTAACTTACACAGGATTGTGTGTGGAGCCAGGTGAGCAGTCAGTCTTGAGCCCTCAGATGATAGATCCTGGGCTCTAATAACTGTACTACATGTATTTCAAATTGTAACCTTTTTTGGAGGTAACAGCTTTATTGTGATATAATTTACATATATTAGGTCATTGGGAAAGCCATGACATACTTTTTATGTTTTTCTAAGCAAAAATGCATTGGGGACCAGCTGGTGGCATAGTGGTTAAAGCACTGGACACTCCCACATGGCTGACCATGGTTCCAGTCCCGGACCTGGTGGCTTGCTTTCTCACTTCCCCTCTTTCTCCTTCTCTTTCTCTCTCTGTGTCTCTCTGTCAAGTTAAAAAGAAATGAATAAATAAAATTTAATAAATAATTATTTTTTAAAAATGCATCCTGACTTTTCCAGTGTCTCAATAATTCACCCATATAAAGCGTACAATTCAGTGGCTTTTAGTCTATTCAGAGACATGCAGCTAACACCACAATTTTAGAGCTTATTTTCCTTTCTCCAGAAAGAGCATCCATACCCATCAGTACTAAACCCCACACCTTTCAGCCCTAAGCCACTAGTCTTGCTGTCTGGATAGATTTTTCCTATTCTGGACATTTCTTATAAATGAGATTATAATAATTTTGGGTTTTCTTTTTCTTCATCTATAAAATTTATAGCCATCAGGACCAGCAGATGGTGTAGTGGTTACATCACTGGACTCCCATGTAGTTGACTGTGGTTCGAGTCCTGGACCCAAGGACTCATGCTGGGCACTTGTGTGTGCATGCCCAAAATCCTGAGAAAATGGAGAAGGGATTGTGGTGTGGCCCTCCCCACTGGTGATGATTCTCACTTTCTGTCTGTCTCTGTCTGGCGAGCGCATGTGCCCTATAGCAAAAATCTCTCCTTAAAAAAAGTTTACAGCCTTTCAGTATAATATAAATATGTAATGCCATATGCTAATTATGCCAACATAAGTAGAAGCACACAGTAGAAATTTATATCTACACAAGGGACCCAACTTCAAAAAGCTTGGAAATATTTTTATTTTGGTGTAAAAAAAGTTTTGAAATCCATGCATGGTTTTTCATAGTACACATTTTCTATGAACTTTTTAAAGACGCCCTCATATATCTAAAATCGCAGTAAGTTCTCTAATGTAGTTTTATTTTCCAAGCCACAGCAACCTGGTCATTAGATGATGCTTAAAATGTTGTTAAAGTATATGTATTCTGGAATACCTTATTAAACAGTACTCCTTTTACACCCAGACTGATAGAAAATAGTCTGCCAAAGTTGCTTCACTATTCTTTCACCCACAAAAATCTGGAATAAGTTGATCCACCACTTCAGGGGAATTAAAGTAGTGAATGACTGTTGAGAAGAAAACTGGACACAGTATGATCATCTTCATTACACACAGCAGACTTACTGAGAAAGGTGCTAGCACTGCCTTTTCGGGTAGGCACCGAAGTCCTCTGAGGCTAATTCGCCTGCTTGCTACCTCTGTGGTATCCGCGGAGTTTCACTGCACTGATTCAGCAAACAGAAACCACAGCACGTGGTCAAGGGACTAGCTCACCTCACTCAACCAGGCCTTTTTTGTATGTGGGGGTATTTGTGTGATTTCATTCTGAACTTCTACAAGCACTTGTAAAGATGTATATTTACCTAACATTTGTGATAAAATGAATCTCTTAAAATTTCAGATTGATAGATCCTCAGACTCAAGTATCAAGGGCCAATGTAAGTACCTCAAACAGCTTAATGTTAGTGATAACTCCCTAACTCACCTTTTACCTACCTTAAACACAACTGGGCACTTAATAAATATCCACAGATTAAATGACTATCACTATTAGTTCATTTTTAATGCCTTTCCATAGAGAATAAGTTTTTTGTTTTGTCTTTCCTTCCAGTTGTGATAATCAGTCTGTTCCTATTTGTTTTGCAGTTTGAACTTACTAGCGTCACACAGTTTGCTGCTCATCAAGAAAACAAGAGACTGGTTGGCTTTGTCGTCCGCACTCCTGAGTCCACAGGAGAACAGTCTCTGAGCACATATATTTTCGAAAGCAACTCAGAAGGCGAAAAGGTTTTGTTTCATATTAAGATTCTATATCTGTCCAGACATGTCCATTTTAAAGGGATTTTTTTTCCCCCACCATCCCCAGGATATTTGATTATGCTGCATGTCTCCACCTAGGAGTTCAGATAACTACCTCCTGGGAATGCCCTCACTGACAGAAAACTGAATTTAAACTTCCCCATGAAAAATACCTATCAACCAAAATAGAGTGAATGAAGAAATGCTTCCAAATTTGTCCTTAAAAAAAAAAAAAAAAAGCAGAAGTTACAATGGAGTCTTAACAAAGATGGTATCAGGAAAGTACATCTCAGCTATTTTTTGTTCACTGTGAAAAACTGACTATGTGAGCTATTTAGAAAGAATTAAAACCAGTCAGTCTTCTTTTGAGTATCTGTTACTGTGTGTATATGCATATGTGGTGGCTGGCTAGGGCTGAGAGAGGAAAAAGTTTAAAACACTGGAAGGCAAGGTTTTTACTTACCTGGAACTTTATATATATATATATAAATGGGTGACGGGAGGTAAGGACAGCTGGATGCTAAGGCTCCAAACCCCGTGCCATTAGTCTGCTGCAGCCAGGCCTGTACTCACATGTGGATGTGAGCAGATGGTGCCTCACTATACTCCTGTGTCACATTTTTTCTGAAATTGTTCTCTTTATCTTTGCCAAACTCCACTTTTCTTATCTTTTGCAGATATGTGCCCTATCGCAAAAATCTTAAAAAAAAAAAAAAAAAGCAGAAGTTACAATGGAGTCTTAACAAAGATGGTATCAGGAAAGTACATCTCAGCTATTTTTTGTTCACTGTGAAAAACTGACTATGTGAGCTATTTAGAAAGAATTAAAACCAGTCAGTCTTCTTTTGAGTATCTGTTACTGTGTGTATATGCATATGTGGTGGCTGGCTAGGGCTGAGAGAGGAAAAAGTTTAAAACACTGGAAGGCAAGGTTTTTACTTACCTGGAACTTTATATATATATATATAAATGGGTGACGGGAGGTAAGGACAGCTGGATGCTAACGCTCCAAACCCCGTGCCATTAGTCTGCTGCAGCCAGGCCTGTACTCACATGTGGATGTGAGCAGATGGTGCCTCACTATACTCCTGTGTCACATTTTTTCTGAAATTGTTCTCTTTATCTTTGCCAAACTCCACTTTTCTTATCTTTTGCAGATATGTTATGCTATTAATTTGGGAAAAGAAATTATTGAGGTTCAGAAGGTAAGGTGCATTTTAGTGCAAAATATCTGTGCAAAACTACTTCAGAAATATCGCATACTATACTGTACGCATACTAAGGTTTCCCTCAGAGAAAAGCAATGTCCACTGGACAGGATGGCCAAGTCTGGGGTTTCCTTTAAGCATTCTAACCGCCAGCCCGGCTGACAGCAGGCAACCCTGTGGACTCTCAGTAGCCATCACTGCTGCAGCCCCTGCTCTCTTGCTTTCCTTGCCTGCACACTCGTTGGCTAGTTTTCCTTCCTTTCAAACTAAGATGACACAAGCTGAAGTACCTACCAGGCACTCTGCTTCTCACAGCATGGCCACAGGCCAGCAGCACGAACAGCCCCTGGGAGCTCGTTAGAAATGAAGACTCAGCAGCTTAGTAGTTCACTCATTCAGCAGATTTCTAAGAGCCTAGTGTACAGAAGAAAAACCCTGAAATTATACCAGTGAACAGGACAGGTACCCTAAGCCCCTCAGGGATCCCCTAGTGAGCCTTTACCTTGTAGACATAACTATTGCAACCAAACCGGGTAATCACAACACAAAAGTGGTCAGATGTGCATGTGAATGGGCACAGCTATTTTCTGACCAAACTGTATTTCCAATACAAGTGATGGGCCAGATGGCCAGCTCCTGGGAGAGGTGAAGAGGGGAGGAAAAGGTTTAAAGACAAGACAGGTTTCATGAAAAAGCTCTGCGGACTGTCTTTGGGAAGATGATTAAACGTCATGTTGGCTGAGAGGAAAAACAGTCTAGAATGTACTAGTATTGCACTTGCTTTCAGGGAAGCCAGGAGACACAGCTGAAGGCACACACAGCAGGGCTCAGGAGGAATGAGGCTGGGTCGCAGAGCGTACAGAAGCCAAGCCAAAGGGGTATAAGTGCATCTTAAGCTTTCTCTTTTTTTCCTCTGAAACACTCCTAACTTCAGGATCCAGAAGCATTGGCTCAATTAATGCTGTCCATACCACTAACCAATGACGGAAAATATGTATTGTTAAACGATCAACCAGATGACAGTGACGGAAGCCCAAGTGAACATAGAGGCGCAGAATCTGAAGCCTAACTCACTTGCATGTGTGGGGGAAGAGCACGCAGGAAGGAGAGCTACCTCCCTAAGGGTTTCCAACTTCTCTGCTACGCAGGCACACTGACCTGATTTCAGAACGCTGACAATCGTTTACGAAAGTACTTTCAATGGCTTGACTTGAGACTTGGGAGGGAAACACTAAGAAACGGTTGACAACGTTCCTCCCCATCAACAAATGTTATTTTAGGTGCTTTGTGGTAAGTCCTTTTCTTAGATCACATTGTTCAGTGCTCAGAAGGAGAGTTATGAAAAATGCATTGTTCACTTTATTTGAATGTCATCTCTGCATTTTCCATTATCTTTTTTAAAAATGGCAAAGCCTAGATTTACAATTTGATAAACACTAAATATTTCCTATTAATATAATCTATTTTTGTATTTTACTTAATGAGCTTTAAGTGCCTGTCATTCTGAAGACTGTGTATTTATAATCCAGCCGGTCTCATCATTGGACCTAACAGCATTACCTTGTGCATTGCGGTGATAAGCGCTGTTTTGTGGCCCAAGCTCTAGCAGAGACGCAGGCCTAGTTTTGATAACTGTTCCAGACATCATGCAATAAAAAGACTAGCTGAGGAATCCCACAACTGATACTTAATTTTACAGTAGAACCTTTCCGAACCAGCATTCAGAAGTTTAAGGTCCTCCTACACATGACTATGGTGGGTCACTGTGAAGGGCGCAGCTGTACCAGTTCCTGTTTCTTCTGAGCCAGACCCTCCTCAAAGAAGGGACCGATTAATCTTAACACTCACTTGAAGCACAGCTGGTCGTGGGGTTTCGTATAAAGTTCCTATTTTCACCTGATACTTCTGGTTCCTGGAATCCCAGCCTACTTCCTGTCTGTAAAATAAGTGTAACGATCGGGAATTGGTAAAGTGTGTTTAGTTGTAACCAAGTTCAACAGACTATCGTTATCTTTGTAATAAATTAACATAGCAATAAAAATTATTCTGTTTCTTTTGTTTGTTGTGGTTATTTCCTAGCACAGCAATCCCCAAACTTTTTTGGCACCAGGAACTGATTTCAGGAAGACAATTTTTCCATGGACTGGGGAGTGAGGGGGGATGGTATTGGGTTGATTCAAGCACATTAATTTACTGTGCACTTCATTACACTGTAATAAATACGTATACTTCCCACCACAATGTAGAAGCAGTGGGAACCCTCAGCTTGTTTTCCTACAAACTAGACGTTTGTTTTTTATTAATTTTGGCCAGGGTGAGTGACACAAGGGCACAGTGTGGAAAGAGGTGTGGATGGATGTGGTAAGGAAAATAATGGACAGACCACGCACAGACTAGAGGAAGTGTAGATTCTGACTTAAAGCCTGCCGCCACCTGCAGCTGTGCCGTTGAAATACATCAACCCACTTGCACTAAAAAGCCTGCCACCAGATGCAGCTTGTCACTTACTGTTGGGGGTTTGGTAAGGTTTACTGTCTCTACAAACCTCTCTAGTTGGCATTGGCAGTAGCATCACCACCTCACCCTCACCAGATCAGGCACTGGACTCTCATACAGAGTGTACAACCTGGCTCTCTGGCACGCATAGTCCATGGTAGGGCTCACACTCCTGCAAGGGTCTAATGGGCTGCTGATCTGACAGGAGGCGACCTTGGGTGGTAAGGCCAATGACGGGGAGTAGCTCTAGAGATGAAGCTCTGCTTGCTCTCCTTCTACTGTACAGTTCCCTGGTTGGAGACCCCTGTCCTAGAACATCCTTGGAAGAAAACTAATGTCCGTTCTGTGGCCTTAATTAAAAACTAGAATATAATAAAATCATAACATGGGATATATATTTAAAAACTATTCAACATGAGTAGAAATAATATGACCTCACTGCAAAATTTTTTTGGGGGGAGGGAGAGGTTTTTGCTATAGGGTGTGTGCACTTGTTAGAGCAAGAAATCAACCCCCGGGGGGATGGCCAAGCCACAGTCCCTTCTCCACTCCTCTTGGGATCTTGGGCATGCATGTACATGCACCTGGTGTGAGCCTAAGCCACTAGGTCTGGGGCTTGAACCGCGGTAGACTACATGGGTGTCCAGCGACATAGCCATTACGCCAACTGCTGGTCCCCTTCACTGCCAAATTTAAGATGGTTATTTTTTTTTTTAATGGCAGATTAAAACCACCCTAGGTTAGGTTAACATAGGGTCCATCTTAAGAACTCACTTCTAGGGAACCAGCAGTTAGCGTAATGGCTATGTCGCTGGACTCCCACATAGTAGACTGCGGTTCGCGTCCCGGACCCAGTGGCTTAAAACTCATGCCGGGCGCGTGTGCGTGCATGCCCAAGATCCTGAGAGGAGAATGGAGGAGAAGGGATTGTGGCGTGACCATCCCTCCTGGGGGGCGATTTCTCTCTTTCTGTCTCTATGTCTCTGTCTGGCGAGCGCACGCACCCTATAGTGAAAAAAAAAAAAACTCCTATAATGTTTCAGAAATATAGTGAGCTGGTGGTCTAAGTCAGTATGAGATTACACACCATAAAATTATGAGTTGACTGTTTACTAATGATTTACTAGTCTGTATAGCATAACTATTAGATCTTTGAAAGGCTAGAAGAGCCATGGTCCCTTGAATGTTTTTCTTTAGACTTTTTCAGGAACAGTGGGGAGAATCTCAAATCCTGAACAATTACTAGGTTGGAAACTAAAGCACTATTAACACTGTAGCTTAAATAAGACACAGGGCATGTATATCATAAGGGAAACAAAGACTTGAAATTCCATTCATTAAAACTAACTTCATCAAAAAATGCCCTTAGAATGAAAACAATTTATTGATAATAGCAAGCACATAAGAGCAACAAAAAATTCATATCCAGAATTTATGAAATACTCCTATAATTAAAAAGGCTAAAAGATTCATGAAAGTATTTCATAGATTTAAAAAATTACAGAGGTTTCTTAAGCAGAAATATGCTAGATCATAGTGTTCTAGGATATGCCAATGAAAAAGACAGTGAGAAGACTACATTCAGCAGATAGCAAAAACACCTGCTGGGAGGAGAGAACAGTCTGGTGTTCTATCTAGTGAACTTGAAAGTGCACCTGCCCTCCACCTAGCAGCTTCACTTGTGGGTACCTACCCAACGAACTAAGTATGTTCCCCAAGGACCTGTACATTAACGATTAACAGGAAAACTATACCATAGTGCCCCAAATGTGAAAATAAGTCAAGAGTCATCAACAACAGAATAGGATGTTTCGTGTAATGGAACACCAGAGAAGTACAACTCGACAACAGCTAGATGCATCAACGTGAATGAATCTCAGACAATAATCGTTAAATCGTAAAAACATGTAAGATTCTATTTATATTAAGACATGAAAACACATTACTTAAAAAAATACATGTAAGTTGTGAAACTAGAGAAAAGCAAGAGAAGAATCAAACCCTCAAACAGTGGTTGCCTTGGGGGAGAAAACAGGACCTCTAATGAAGTTATATGCTTGACCTCTGTGGTAGCTCCCCAAGGGCTTTATTTTTATTCTCTCTTGCATGCATATAATTTTTTAAAGATTTAACTTTATTTATTTAATTTGACCACAGAGGGACAGAGTGGGGGGGGTGAGAAAACAAGCTGCCAGATCTAGGGCTCGAACCATGGTCGAGCATGTGGGAGTCCAGCGCCTTTAACCACCATGCCACCTGGTAGCCCACATGCTGTATAATTTTCAAATGTATTAACAGTGGGTGACCTGCCCATTTTCTCAACTTACTGAAATGTATTTTTTTTTTTTTTGAGAGGTTTTTGCTATAGGGTGCGTGCGCTCACCAGACAGACAGAGACAGAAAGCGAGAAATCACCCCCCAGGGGGCATGGCCACGCCGCCCGGCGTGGAGGTTTAAGCCACCAGGTCCGGGACGCAAACCGTGGTTGACTACGTGGGAGTCCAGCAACATAGCCATTACACTAACTGCTGGTCCCTACTGAAATGTATTTTAATACACATTAAAGCACTCTGAGAAACTAATAAGTGCCATGTAAATAATGTGGGAAAGGCAGAGAAAGGGATCTTTCAGAAACCAGCTACCTTTAAGGTCCCATTCACCAAGTCCATTTCCCAGCACTGGTTTAGCCATCACATACCCATTAGACTAGTATCTTTTTTTTTTTTTTTTTTTTTTAAGGTTTTTACCATAAGGTGCCACGTGCTCCCCAGAGACAGAGAGAGGGAAAGTGAGAAATCACTCTCCAAAGGGGATGGTCATGCCATAATCCCTTCTCCATTCTCCTTAGGATTCTAGACATGCACACACATATGCCCTGTATAATTTCCAGATTGCTGGGTCCAGGATTCGGAACAGTGGTCAGCATTGTGGGAGTCCAGGGCCTTAACAACCACGCCACGTGCTCGTCCCCACACAACCATTATAAGAACGGGGACTTCCTTAACACTGTCTATACTCAGCTGAGCCACCTATATGAACCCACTGCAAATCAAGTATAGACTATTTTCAAACTTTCCACCTGAAAGAAACAAACACTATATGCCAATTATATTTCTACCTATGAGAATATTCATGTTAACAGCTTATATTTATAGCAGTTACTGTTCCTAATAAGTGTTCTACACAAATTAACTTGATTTTCATATTGATATCATCCCTTCTTACGCCTGAGGAAACAAAGATTAACCAGCAAATCAGCTCTTAATTCAGATTCCAGACTCTATGGTTCTAACCACTATGTTAAGAGTGTGGTTGGTGTGTCTGGGTGTTACCTCAAGAGAAAACAGAGATGAAATAATTTCCAAATAATTTGTAATACACAGATTTTGAAGTTCTTATGATATTCAGTAGCTATATCAATTTAAAAGCCTGTCATTAATGATGTAAAAATTCTGTAGAGATTTAATACTTTAATATTAATTTGCTATAGGGTACCCTATGGTATGGTGGTTAAGGTGGCTGGATCCCACATGGCCAACTATACAGTTCAAGTCCTGGACCCAAAGGCTTGACAAACCCGTCACCAGGGATGTGTACAATAATGGTTACAGCAGCATTGTTCACAGTGGACCCCGAATGTGAAAATCAGTCATCAACATCATCATCAATGTGCCGGAACATGTGCGTGTGTGCCTAAAATCCCAAAAGGAGGGAGAGATGGAGAAGGATTGTAGTGTGACCATTCCCCACGGGGGAGGGTGGTACTTCCTCACTTTTTATTTCTAACATATTTTAACACTGTATACTAATGATCCCTTTGTGGGATTGGGAGTCATAGTAAATTCATAATGGTTCTTTTTATTTGAGAACAACAAGATATCAAGAGACCAAAAATATATAAAGGAAAGAAAACTGAAGTACTTTACCTGGGATACATAGAGGAGCCAATCCCAATTTTATACTTGAAATTTTCTGCTACTGTGCATACAAGCATCTTTTCAAAGAGATTCCACTGGGACCAGCAGTTAGCGTAATGGCTATGTCGCTGGACTCCCATGTAGTTGACCGCAGTTCGCGTCCCGGACCCGGTGGCTTAAAACTCACACCAGGCGCATGTGTGTGCGTGCCCAAGATCCCGAGAGGAAAATGGAGGAGAAGGGATTGTGGCGTGGCCATCTCCCCTGGGGGGTGATTTCTCGCTTTCTATCTCTCTGTCTCTGTCTGTCTGGTGAGCGCACGCGCCCTATAGCAACAACCTCTACAAAAAAAGAGAGATTCCATTATATTTTATTCTATTAAATGGAACCACAGAAAAGTTAATGGCAGGTTGGCCCTACCCCCTAGTGGTTAAGGGGCCAAATCCCACATAGCTGGCCACAGTATGAATATTAGCATTGAGGGACCAGTAGTTAGCGTAATGGTTATGTCGCTGGACTCCCATGTAGTCAACTGCGGTTCACGTCCCAGACCCAGTGGCTTAAAACTCACGCCAGGTACGTGTGCGTGAGTGCCCAAGAGCCCAAGAGGAGAATAGAGGAGAAGGGATTGCGGCGTGGTCACACCAAGTCCATTTCCCAGCACTGGTTTAGCCATCACATACCCATTAGACTAGTATCTTTTTTTTTTTTTTTTTTTTTTTTAAGGTTTTTACCATAAGGTGCCACGTGCTCCCCAGAGACAGAGAGAGGGAAAGTGAGAAATCACTCTCCAAAGGGGATGGTCATGCCATAATCCCTTCTCCATTCTCCTTAGGATTCTAGACATGCACACACATATGCCCTGTATAATTTCCAGATTGCTGGGTCCAGGATTCGGAACAGTGGTCAGCATTGTGGGAGTCCAGGGCCTTAACAACCACGCCACGTGCTCGTCCCCACACAACCATTATAAGAACGGGGACTTCCTTAACACTGTCTATACTCAGCTGAGCCACCTATATGAACCCACTGCAAATCAAGTATAGACTATTTTCAAACTTTCCACCTGAAAGAAACAAACACTATATGCCAATTATATTTCTACCTATGAGAATATTCATGTTAACAGCTTATATTTATAGCAGTTACTGTTCCTAATAAGTGTTCTACACAAATTAACTTGATTTTCATATTGATATCATCCCTTCTTACGCCTGAGGAAACAAAGCACAGAAAGGTTAAGGAACCCGCTAGTAAGCAGCAAATCAGGACTTAAATCAGATTCCAGACTCTATGGTTCTAACCACTATGTTAAGAGTGTGGTTGGTGTGTCTGGGTGTTACCTCAAGAGAAAACAGAGATGAAATAATTTCCAAATAATTTGTAATACACAGATTTTGAAGTTCTTATGATATTCAGTAGCTATATCAATTTAAAAGCCTGTCATTAATGATGTAAAAATTCTGTAGAGATTTAATACTTTAATATTAATTTGCTATAGGGTACCCTATGGTATGGTGGTTAAGGTGGCTGGATCCCACATGGCCAACTATACAGTTCAAGTCCTGGACCCAAAGGCTTGACAAACCCGTCACCAGGGATGTGTACAATAATGGTTACAGCAGCATTGTTCACAGTGGACCCCGAATGTGAAAATCAGTCATCAACATCATCATCAATGTGCCGGAACATGTGCGTGTGTGCCTAAAATCCCAAAAGGAGGGAGAGATGGAGAAGGATTGTAGTGTGACCATTCCCCACGGGGGAGGGTGGTACTTCCTCACTTTTTATTTCTAACATATTTTAACACTGTATACTAATGATCCCTTTGTGGGATTGGGAGTCATAGTAAATTCATAATGGTTCTTTTTATTTGAGAACAACAAGATATCAAGAGACCAAAAATATATAAAGGAAAGAAAACTGAAGTACTTTACCTGGGATACATAGAGGAGCCAATCCCAATTTTATACTTGAAATTTTCTGCTACTGTGCATACAAGCATCTTTTCAAAGAGATTCCACTGGGACCAGCAGTTAGCGTAATGGCTATGTCGCTGGACTCCCATGTAGTTGACCGCAGTTCGCGTCCCGGACCCGGTGGCTTAAAACTCACACCAGGCGCATGTGTGTGCGTGCCCAAGATCCCGAGAGGAAAATGGAGGAGAAGGGATTGTGGCGTGGCCATCTCCCCTGGGGGGTGATTTCTCGCTTTCTATCTCTCTGTCTCTGTCTGTCTGGTGAGCGCACGCGCCCTATAGCAACAACCTCTACAAAAAAAGAGAGATTCCATTATATTTTATTCTATTAAATGGAACCACAGAAAAGTTAATGGCAGGTTGGCCCTACCCCCTAGTGGTTAAGGGGCCAAATCCCACATAGCTGGCCACAGTATGAATATTAGCATTGAGGGACCAGTAGTTAGCGTAATGGTTATGTCGCTGGACTCCCATGTAGTCAACTGCGGTTCACGTCCCAGACCCAGTGGCTTAAAACTCACGCCAGGTACGTGTGCGTGAGTGCCCAAGAGCCCAAGAGGAGAATAGAGGAGAAGGGATTGCGGCGTGGTCAACCCCCCTGGGGGGGGTGATTTCTCGCTTTCTGTCTCTCTGTCTCTCTCTGTCTGGTGAGCACACGTGTCCTATAGCAAAAAAAACTCTCAAAAAAAAATATATATATATATCAGCATTGACAATTTGAAATACACCAGGCATGTGTGTGTGTATACCCCAAAGCCTGACAGGCTAGAGAATGAAGAGACTGGCAATGTGACTATGCCCCACTGGGAGCTGCTTCCCCCTCTGCTCTTTCTCGCTTTTGCTGTCTCTCTCTGGTGAGTGTACACACCCTCTGGTTTAAAAAAAAAAAAAGGTTAAGAAACTACTGTCTTAAGACATTAAATTTCAACACACACATTCAGGGGAAAGAAATTTTTAAAATTATATTTATTAATGTTTTATTATACATACTGTATCCTCTTAGAATTGGGGGGAGGGGAGAAGCCCCACTCAAGTAAGGTAACAAACACCATCATTTACAAAATGTAATTAGATCTGACAATGTTACGGTGAGTCCTTATTCCTGAGAATTTAAACATCAGTAAGTTTTCTGTGAACTTATAACAAATGCTCACATTAATTTTTAAATTACAGTATGCCTGAAAAAATTAAAATATTAACATTAATATGTTAAGAAGGAAAACCATTACCCAAATGTATATATTAACTTAGATTTGAAGACACTGAAAACCCTGTTGCTCTGCAGTTTAATGCCATTTAAATATTTCATCTTTTCAGAGATTTTATTTCAAATATAGGAATTTAAAATTTTTTCAAACTGCAATGACATTAAAGGATAAAATAATGTCACCTTCTTTCCAATTATAGGCATCCAGAGGGTCAGCATGTGAACTCTTACTTAGTACTGACAAAATAATTTACATGTGGGGATAATGAAAAGAGAACATCTGATTTCTTCTAATCATAATTCTATCCCTATTAAAAGAAGATTTCAGGGAAGTAGAAAAGAAAAACAGAAAATGATGCTGTTGCTATGAAATAGTGACTAATATGATATAATTGAATGCAAGATCATAATATAAACATTTATAATGAAAATATAAATTATTAATTATGCAGCATGCTTTAGGGCCATTTCTACAGTTAGTATGAATTACAAATATTAAATGCCTTTAGTCTATCCACTGTCCATAATTCTGTAAGCCATGCTTACATAATAAACAAAAAAAAAATTTCCTACATATTCCGTTTCTTCTGACTTCCAACAGTGAAGAATTGATCTTAGGCTGGGAATGTTACCCAACCCTAACCAGCGAGTACAAACAGCACATTGTACACCCATTCCAAAAGCTAGAATCAAAGAGCAATGTTAGAATTATTTGCAAGATTTATCCAAAGAAATGGTTAGCAGGCGAGTGCAATAGAAAAATCAAGCATTTCCCAAAATGATATTTGTCTTAAAGTTTTAAACTTTAGTTTTCATTGTAAAGGTATCATTATATTTTTTAAAGGTCACATTAATAATTTCACTATTAACTGACACACCCTTACAAAAATAAAGCTAGTAGCTTGCTGCAAACTACATTTACTCAAAACCTTTCTGTACTTTTTAAATCAGTGATCTATTTTATTAGAGCTTTATTCTCACAGTGGTAATTTTTTTTAACCTGCACAGTACAATTATTATTTAATCTGGTGTCTCAGATTTTACTTGATATAAAGGAAAAGTCTGCCAAAACCATTGCAAAGCTTCAAATCAACCGAATGTAGAAGAAACCTGAGTTTGGATGTAATAGAAATAATTCATTCAATTTTTTCTTATATCATACATAGTGCCTTCAACCACAGTGAAGCTTCAAGCAGGACTCTATGGCTTTATCTGAATTTTCTTTGAGTATTTAGTAAATTTTAAATTTAAAGCAGTTGTTGGAGGTTAAATGTTCTCAAAGCAATGTAAACTTGTTATAAAATGTGTCATTGAAGACATCAGCAGCTCTTGTGCATCCACATAAAATTAACAATGAATGACCCTCAGGTATACTGTACACAAAGGTGCATACACACTGTACCTCACCTCTAGTATAAAGCCCTCTTCCTATATTCTTTTCATAAGAATATTGATATGTATGTATCAAATGTCAGGCTCAATTCCTTTTTTAAAACGTATTTACTGGCTGTATATAGCTACGCACTGATTTTCCAATGACTTTTGAGATAAATATGGACAAAGACCTATGCAAACACAAATTACAGACACTCATATAGACTGTAAAGAGAGCTGAGGTGACAGTTTCAGAATTCCAATTTGACCTTCTATAACTTCACTTCAAATAACTGTTCCTAGAAACATCTCCTAGCCAAAAGTCCAGGCAAAATTCTATCTTAAAATCTCATTCTTGACCTTTGAAAAGTAGAACATTTGGAAGCAGAATGGACGTAGAGCACTGCCTGAAAGGGTTGGAACATCTAAATATTTTCCAGAGATGTGACCCAGGAAACAATTCATCAACAGCTTATAACATCCATTTCACTGGCAAAAGTACTGACACAATTCTGGTCATTTCATATGAGCAATACATACTATCAGGATCATTTCACAACAGGATCAGCAGACACAGTGCTGTCGGACAGGTCTCCATTGCTTGCTTTAGTTTCTTCTGGAAACATAGTGAAAAAAACAATGGACATATTTTGTGTTTACTTTTTTTTAACAATTAAGAAATAAAATTTGATAAGAACTATATTGCCAAATTTTTAAGTTTGTATCTATCAGATATCTCCCAAACATCACAAATTATATGTATTTTATTATTATTTTTTTAAATCTAGGCTAAATACTATACTCATTCTCAGTGAGGGTGTTGTGGCCTTTCCCCTGTGCAACCCTGCTACCTCTCACCTAAAGAAGGCATGCTCCCCCAAGCCAGTTCCTCGTAATCATCATTGTGGTGCACTCCATTACTGAAGGAAATGTGGCTGTAAATTCAAATATCAACTTGTCCAGAATGAGAAACTTTCCATTTGTATTTATAATTTATTTTATAAGTAGTTTTTTTATTGCATTTGTGATAGAAGGAATTCCTTTCGTGCACAATGTTCATGTGCACATATTTCACTGACAGAAATACCTGACTAACACATTTACAAACCTTGACTATCTCTGAAGAATTATTAGCTGAAATAGTTTTAAAATGGCAGACTGACCCAGGCACCATCTGAGGGAGGTACAGCAACCAGAGCCCTCATGAGTGCCTTAAGAACGAGCCAAAGCAGAGCCCCACTGCCAAGAGATTCAAGGGTCTGGGTGTCTGTTTTGTTTTAATGCTTAGAGCAAATGTTCAATCCACTTGCAGAGTTTTACGTGGGCAGGAGACAAAGTCTGGCATCATGAAACAGCAATAATTGACTTCTCTGTAGTTTAGAATACACTGGTGCAAATTCATCCAAGTGGCCTTTGCTAATTTACCATTTGAAAATGAACACAAATGTAATATATGCAAATTGCCATTAGTAAATACTGAGTATTTTCTAGTAACAGCCTAAAATGCCTAATATTGTAACTTAAAACTATGTAACATTAGTAAGTAATATTTAATTTATGCAACACTGTCACTGAACAAGGTAGCTCAGGTCTATTCAAATGAGTCACCTCTGCTCAGTGTGGGGAAAAAAATAAAATTTGACAAGAAATAATATTAATAAAATCATTTTATGAAATGGTTTATATCTTGATTTATAAAAATTTCATGAAATAAAAGAAAGAAAAGTAGAGGGGTAAGTAGGTAGCATGGTGGTTAAGGGCACTAGACTCCTACATGGCCAACCGTGATTCAAGTCCTGGACCTGGTGGCTTGCTTTTTCACTTTCCCCCAACCTCACTCACCTCCCAACTCTGTCCCTCTCTGGTCTAATGAATTAATTAGTTAATTAATTAAAGTTAAATAAAATCATTCTTTAAAAAGAAGAAAGGTAGAAGAGCTACTGTGAAAACTGTTAAGAGTCAACTAGTTGCTGTACCTAGTTTTGATATCCAAACAAAGAGAAAAGGTTATTTGATTTCCATGACAGAAAGAAGCGAACCTCTTCGGGGGAGACAAATGGTCCTAAATTTCAAATGGGAGACAAACATATCACGGGGACATGATGTGTGGAACACTGCAGTGCTCTTACGCACTACAAGTACATAATGTACAATCCCAGGCTGAGGCCATAGCACAAGGTTCTAGGTTTGTGTCCGAAGGTCTCCCGAAATACGCAGACACTTGCATACCCATGGGTCTTGGCTGGCTCAGGCTAGAAGTGGATGGCGTCAGGAAAATTTTGTTGGGTATGCTTCCCTTTCTCATTTTCTCTTTCTCAGAATAAGTAAATAAGTAATAAACTTAAAAATTTATAAATATTGGCCCAGCTGTGGGAGAGCAAGTAGGTAGCTTGGAGTCCACAGGAGGCCCGGGTTCAGTTCTCAGACTAACCTACACCGGCTGGGCCATAATTGTGTGCCTGTAATCCGAGCTAGCAGGGAGGCTGGAAGATGGGAAACGGAATAAGGATAGAAAGGGTTATCACAGAGTGAAATGCACAAGCTAAAAATAAATTCCTTTTCAATTTCACACACGATCCACACAGGCTTTATGTTTTTAAAAAACTTATTTCGAGATCTGTATTATTTTGCTTAAAGAACAAGCTAGAAGTCTGAACACATAAAATGGGATATGAGGGTCTACTACTACAGAGAGATTTATTCAATATAAGCCACTCACTGACCTTCCTTCTCTTTCTTTTCTTGGTTTTCTTCAGCTGCAGTCTTGTCTGCTCTGAAGAAAATTCTTGCACTGCTCAGTGAGAAATACAGCAATTCAAATTCCTAAGTAAAAAAAATTTAAAATAAAAGCTGAAAATAGAGCAAAATATCAAAAATAGAGTTTAATTCTCTTTTTTTCTTATTTTAAAAAGCTCTAATAGAACTCATAAAAGAGAAACTGAAATAACTCATCCATGCTTAAGATCTGAATCAAATGGCTTCCAAATACAACTCACTCTGAAAAACACTGTTTTTACCATTATTCATCTCACTTATTATAATGTGGGTTTTGGACCATTTCTGAGGCCTGATGGTTATGGCAGACAGATCCCATAAGGCTGACTGCAAGGTTCAAGTCCTAGAGCTGGCAGTTTGAAAAACATGTGTGCCCAAAATCCCAACAAGGTGGAGAAATGGAGGAGAAGGGACTGTGGCTTGACCATTTCTCATGGGGTGCTCTCCCTCTCTCTCCTCTCCCTTTCTCTCTGTCTCTCTCTATACATACATGAGCCTTCTAGCTGAAATGAAAGGTTAAAAAAATGGGGGTTTCTATTTTGCTTTTGTTTATCCAATATCAAGAAGTAATAGGTAACAGAAAGTCAAAGCAGATTTGACTCTTACGCTCCTCTACCTGCAGATAGACATCCAGCCGTTTCTGAGTAAGATTCATAGTTTGTAGTAGTTTTTCATCTTGACTAGCTGACTGCACATTCTGTTGCTTAGCAACTGCTCTTATCTCCTTCAGGTATTTCTCTCTCACAGACTGGAACCAATGAAGTGAATCAAATTCCTGGTACTGGTCCAAAAGCTTTAGAATGTATGCCACACCTGCAGTCATTAGCAAAGGCAAAGTTAAATTACAGAGAACAGAAGTTGTATTCTCCTTTACCACAACTCCTAGCACTAAGCTAACCATTTTGAATTCATCTTCTTTTAAATAACATTTTATAGTATAAATGTATGACAAAGCAAGATGGCTTAATTCTTCTTTAAGAAGAAAAATATAAAAGTATAAAGAATTACAGTCAGCCATAGTGGCACGTTGTCGGGTCTCCCTGTGCACACTGTGTGCATGTGTGTGCCCATGATACTGGTGGCTAAGTGTCTCTCTCGTAGAAAAAATAAACTTTTTTTTTTTGTAAGAGAGATTTTTGCTATAAGGCACGTACACTTGCCAGAGAGACAGAAAGCAAGAAATCCCCCCCATGGGGGAATGGTCATGCCACAATCCCTTCTCCTTCATTCTCTTCTAGGGATTTGGGGCACACACACATACACACCCGGCGTGAATTTCAAGCTGCTGGGTGCCATGGACTCGAACTGCGGTCAACTACATGAGAGTCCAGCAACATAAGCATTATGCCATCTGCTGGTCCCAAAAAGATAAACTTTTAAAAAAAGTATATAGCATTAAAGACAAATCTATTAAGAAGAAAATAAATAACATGGCTATGAAAATCACCTGGAGAGGAATATGGTTGTAAAGGTAAAGAATAAAAACTTCTACTGCTAGGAGATAGCGAATGAAGAACATAAACAAATGTTCCTAAGACTCCACACTAAGGTAAATATAAAATTAATAGGAAAGCAATTTCCATTAAGCTTACCCATGGCAAAGCCATCATCGGTAAAAGCAGCTCCAATTTTATTTTTTTTATTCAGTTTCTCCTTGCAACTAATGGAATGCTCTACAAAGTTGAGGGTCTAAAAACACAAGATATTAGAGAAAAAAATCGTGTTAAAATCTTCCACATTCACTTCCTAAAACAGAAATTTCACAAATTATAAAATTTCTTAGGTTCTTGTCTTTTTTATCTGAAACATTTGCCTCAGATAAACAGTCTGTCCAGGAGAACACAATCCATGCAGTGTTTCTTTCCACATTTTTAAACTATGGGCACTTCTTTCATCTTAATAACTGTGATACAGTATGGTTAAGTGCTATACCAGCCCACACGGAATTTAAAGTTGGCTTTTACTACCTATGAAATTTATTAACAGTTAAACACATATGTGCAAAATCTTTATCAACTGTTATTTAAATCTTTTTCAGACATCTTATCTATGTTTGTCTTTTTTCTGGAACTAAATTCCAGCATAAAAACAGTGTCCTGGAGGAGAGGCGAGGCCTTCAGCAGAAGATTCCTCATGGCTCCTACGAACTAGTCATTTCAGGATTGAACTTCAAGAATTAGGAAGAAACACACCATCCATCAGATGACTAGAAATCACTGCAGGGTGACAAGAAATATGGAAAGCAAGAAAATACCTCTCCTCCAAGGGAAAAGAATAACTCCTTTTCATCTACAAGCAGTTCAATGGAAATCATGGAAATGTCTGATAAACAATTTAGAACATTCACAATGGCAAAGCTAACAGAGATGGAAGAGAAGAGAGACAGTGAACTGCAGAAGAGAAAGGAGAAAGAAGCTGACGAGTTCTAAGAGGTGAGTAAATTCTTGCAAGATCTAAAAGAGGAACTACATACTTTAAAAAAGCATCAAACGGAACTGTTAGAGATGAAGACTATAATACAGGAAATAAAAATATCCCTTGAAAGTATTAAAAGCAGACTAGATCATACAGAAAATAGAATCTCAGACATAGAAGAGAAAATCGTTGGCCTAGAAAAATCCACCACGAAGACTGAGAAAATTGCCCAAAAAAGTGAGAATAATATATGAGAACTACGAGATACCATTAAACGTCCAAACATCCGGATTATTGGCATTCCAGAAGGTGAAGAGACTCATAAGGGCATTGATAATCTATTCCATGAAATCCTGCAAGAAAATTTTCCAAACCTAGAGAGGCACTCAAAGATCCAGTCCTGAGAAATACAAAGGACCCCCAATAGAATCAACCCAAAAAGATCTTCTCCAAGACACATTATAGCCAGGTTAACCAAAACCGCAGACGAAGACAAGATACCAAGATTGGCAAGAGAAAAACATCATGTTACCTACAAAGGACATCCCATCAGGCTAACAGTAGACCTCTCATCGGAAACAATAAGAGCGAGAAAAGAATGGGAAAATATAGTCAAAGTGTTAAGAGAAAAGCAATTTCAGCCAAGAATACAGTACTCAGCAAGATTATCTTTCATGTGGGAAAAGACAAGAACATTCTCAGATAAATGAAACCTGAAAGAATTTACCAGCACCAGACCAGGTCGCCAAGTTCTCAAGGGAGTGTTATATCAGGAAAATTAAATACAGACACACAGAAATAAGAGTTCAAAAACTATGAAAGTGGCCAACTTAATCATAGGAACAAGTCTGGAGTTGAATATTATATGCCAGAATTTAATCGGAAAAATCGAACCACAACAGAAGATAAGTACATGAGACGGAATTGGTGGAGTATAATTTTATGACTTTTGACTAAAATATTGCTGATTTTCTTGTAGACTTTGTTATTTGGTTGTAAGGATTTGTGTCCTGTCTTGAGATATGGATAGGTTCATGCACCTACCATGTGAACAGAATCCTCACCTGTTTCCTGGCTTTAAGCAAAGTTCCTTAGCATTTCTTTGATCTAAGTTAAAACTGGTTTTCTTAATAGTACCAAGTGAACTTGCTATTGAAAGTAGTTAGATTATTTAAGAAAGTGTGTGATCAATACAATGTGGAGGGGGAAAGGAATGGAAAACAACTGTAGACACCAGAGATAGTGTGAGAAGAGGGTGGGAAAGGACAGAGGGTCAGAAATAGGGGGGTAAAAAAACATTCTAGAAACTAGAAATGGAAATTTTTTTATAATAATATGCACGATTAAGCCACTATGCAGTATATTCTGGATGGGAAATCACATTTTGTATGCTGTGGGTGTTCAGTCTATTCACTGAGGTTTATGCCTAAAGTTGGACTTGTGTTCATGTTTCAGCTGTGCTTGCTATGAAAATATTTAGATTAAATAAGATCTTTAATGACTCAATAAAATGTGTGGGGGGAAAAAACGTATAGAAAGCAAACAAAGATACCAGAGACAGTGTGGGAGGAGAGTGGGAGACGGCAGAGGCTAAAAGATAGGGAATCAAGGATGGGAAAAAAAGCAAAACATAAAGAAACAAGAAATGGAAAATTATTTGTTGATGATAACATGTATGTTGGTGCACTTGATTGAGCCAATATACAGTGTACTCTGGATGGAAAATCTCACTTTGTATGCTGTAATGATGAACAGTGAATGAATGTAAATAAATAAATTTAATTTTTTAAAAAAGTGTCCTGTATCTTTTCATAGTGCTCTTAGCCCATTTTGTTTTCTCTATTGCTAACTGCCTCAGTCACTACTTAATCCAAAACAATGCCTTACTTTTGTATTATGCATACTTTAGAAAAGAGGACTCTGATGCTTGGGATATTTAACATCGTATCCAAAGACCTACTAAGTGAATGTTGGAATCAGAGAAGTGCCCTGCTTTATTTGAAAGCACAAGCACTCTTAAGCACATGCACAGCTGACAGCCCCCTCAACTCTAGTTTGATACTATCTTAAGATGAAAAGATGCTTATCGGAAAGATATGGACAGTTTTGCTATACGGCAGTTGTAATAGGGAATGGAAAATAAATGTAAAAAAAGAAAATTCACAAAGAAGAGTTTCCTATAGACCATTACTTAGCTATTTTGAATAAGTAGCAATAATTATAATCCGTAATAAAATGGGTTAATAACAATTCAAGCAGCAATACAAGCAGCTTAAGAATCCAATTATTCTTTTTTGTTTGTTTGTTTTTGCCTAGGACACATGCACTCACCAGAGAGAAAGAAAGAGTTAAAGAGAGAGAAAGTGAGAAATCATCCCTCTGGGAGGATAGCCTGCTGCAATCCCTCCTCCTCTAGGGATTTAGAGTATTTTCAAGCTGCCAGGTCCAGGACTCAAACCACAGTCAGTCACGTCTAGAACCTTAACCGCATCATTTGCTTGTCCCAAGAAGCTAATTATTTTTTATCAAAGCTACATTGTTCAATGACAGATTTAAAAAAAAAAAGAAAAGAAGTATCTTAACTATAAATAATTCCCCTTCAGCATAGCTAGTAAGTAGAATTCTAGGGCATATTCACTGAAATCACACTTAGGTTTTTGTCTTTTTAGGCTTTTGCCAAAAGGCATGTGCACTTGCAAGAGACAGATAGAGATGGTAAGAGGGAAAGTGCGTAATCACACCTCAGCAAGGATGGCCACACCACAATCCCGTCTCCTCCATTCTACTCCTGGAATTTTGGACATGCACACACACACACCCCATGTGATTTTCAAGCTGCTGGGTCAGCCAGGCGGGAGTCCAGCACCACAACTACCATGCCACCTGCTGGCCCCCCAAGATCAGATTTAGTTTTATCAACAACCAGAAAGTCAGACTATAGTCTGTGTGCATTTCACGCTACCAAGAAACTGTGTCTATGTATTAAAACTCTATTCTTTTTCATTCATTTTAAATTCTACACATACTTACCAGAGGAGGAACAATAATATAAAAATTTCGGAGATGTATATTCTTTGGCCTTCGAAATTCTGGAGCAAAAACATCAACAAGCATTTTGAAGTATTCTGTACCTTCAGCAGAATTTCGTGTGTGATCACTAAGGACTGAATCCAAATGCCTAAAAAGCAAAAAATTATTCACTTGGTTCCTGTCTCCAAAAAAAAGTATAGTTTTCTTTAAAACTCATCTCTCATTAGATTAGAAAAGAGCATTTAAAAGTAGGAAACATGTAAGACATTTCTATTGGGTCATTGGAAAAATCATGACACATTTCTGTATAGAAAAACATTAAAAAAAAGTCATGACTTTTCTGACAACCCAGTGATTTTCCTTGGAGTTCAAAATGAACTAATTTTCTCATGGATTAAAAACTGATCAATATTAATTAACTTAAGTCCCTAAAATAGAATATGGAGAACATTTTGGGAATTAATAATCTGTATTTCTTCCCACAATGAGCCCTATAGAACCTTTCATTATAAATAAATTCCTTTCATCTTAAATCTCTTCGCTATTTTTCTTTTATGTTTCCTCCTTATGTCAACTTAAAACTTACCTTCTTTCAAAACCCTAGCTTCCCCTCAACCTTCAGAAACATTAGCTGCTTTTTCTCCTACATCTTTTTTTTTTTTTTTTTTTTTGAGAGGTTTTCACTATATGGCGCGTGCACTCGCCAGACAGACAGAGACACAGAGACAGAAAGCAAGAAATCACCCCCCAAGGGGGATGATCACGCCGCAATCCCTTCTCCTCCATTCTCCTCTCGGGATCTTGGGCACGCACGCACACGCGCCCAGCGTGAGTTCTAAGCCACCGGGTCCGGGACACGAACCACAGTCGACTACATGGGAGTCCAGCGACATAGCCATTACGCTAACTGCTGGTTCCCCCTCCTACATCTCTTATGTATAATGAATAACATTTTTAAATAACTACTCCTCCACCAATGGAAGGGAAAAATCTCTTTGGAGACAGAAAGTGAGAAATCACCTCCTGGGGGGATGGCCACAATGCAATCCCTTCTCCTCTATTCTCCTTTGGGATCTTGGGCACACATGCATACGCGCCCAGTGTTGAGTTTAAGCCATTAGGTCCAGGACTCAACCACAGTCGACTAAGTGGGAGTCATGCGACGTAACCGTTACACCATCTGCTGGCCCCAGCATCTACTAACTTTTTAACCACTGCCCCATCATTATCTAGGACTAGAACTTGTTCTCCTCTATCTATGTGTATAATCTATTCATCACAATCCCACAACTCCTTAACTTCACCTGCCAAGACATTTCCTTCACATGTCAACCCATGCACTCCCTTTTACTAATAAAGCCCTTGTAATTAGCAGTCAGCTTTATCCTAAATCTCTTAAAAGACGACCCACTTGAACTGCTTTCAAAAATTTTTCAAGTGGTCACTAATTTTGGAATGGATATATCATCATTTAATGGGAGGTAAAGGTTCATTTTTTTCCCTTCATATACAAGCCATGAACTGTTTTAATCATTTTCAGATACATGATTTCAAGTAGCTTATTAACTGTATATGTATTTATTTATTAACTTATATGGCTTTCATAACCTGGCAAAAAAAAACCCTAAGCTATCTTACAGGCTATTCCAGAGCAAAGCTTCTGTGTTGGGGCACTATTCTCACAAAAATCTCCAGATATATACATTTGTCATTATATTTTCTTTTGCTTTATAAAAATTTGGGGGCCAGCAAATGGTATGATGATTAAGGCACTGGACTCCCACACAGCTGATTGTGGTTAGAGTCCTGGATCTGGAAACTTGAAAATCACACTGTGTGTGTGCCCAAAATCCTGAGAAGAGAATGGAGAAGAGATTCCTACATGGCTAGCCCCCCTGGGGGGATAATTTCTCACTTTCCCTCTGTCTTTGTCTCTCTCTAAAAAGGGTATACACGCAATGGCAAAAACCTAAAACAAACAAACAAACAAACAGAACAACTGGGGGTAAGCCTGTAGCACAGTAGTTAAGCCCCATGTGTAAGAAGCTGGATCGCACACGACTGACCGTAGTTCAAATCCTAGCCCCGTTACCAGACGCTTGTGTATGCATGCCCCAAATCCTGACACGAAAAGCAAGACTGGCATTCTAGAATGGTGTTGGTGAACAGAAATAGTAATAAAAGTAATAAATGGGTGAAATAAATTTTATGAATGACAGATTTAGCATTTCTTTTCTTTTTTTTAAGAATTATTTATTGGGACCAGCAGATAGCATAATGTTTACATTGCTGGACTCCCATGTTGTTGACTACGGTCGCGTATTGAATCCAGCAGCTTAAAATTCACGCAGGGCACATGTGCATGCGTACCTAAAATCCTGAGAGAAAAATGGAAAGGGATTGCAACATGGCTATCCCTCCTGGAGGGTGATTTCTCCCTTTCTGTCTCCCTAGTAAGCCACCCTGTAAAAAAATTCCTCTTACAACTAAAAAGAATTATTTAATTTTATTATTATTTCATTTGCTATAGGGTATGTGCTCTCACAAGAGAACAAGCAGCAAGCAAGAGAGAGAGGAAAAGAAAGAAAGCAAGCTGCCAGACCCAGGACTTGAACTGAGGTCAGTCATGTGAGAGTCCAGAGCCTTAAACCATCACCATGCCACATGCTGGCCCCAGGATTCCTTTTCTTAAACAAAAAATAATTTTTTTGAGAGGTTTTATTTTTGCTATAGGGCGCATGCACTCACCAGAAAGACAGAGAGAAAGAGAGAGACAGAAAGTGAGAAATCACCGCCCCCGGGGGGATGGCCATGCCGCAATCCCTTCTCCTCCATTTTCCTCTTGGGATCTTGGGCACGCACGCACACATGCCTGGCGTGAGTTTAAGCCAGTAGGACCAGGACTTGAGCCACGGTCGACTACGTGGGAATCCAGCAAAATAGCCATTACACCATCTGTTGGTCCCACTTAAACAAAATTCTTAAGATTAATTATGGACTTTACACCTGGCACATCTCAATTTGGACCAGTCGCATTTCAGGTCCTCAAGAGCCACATGTGGCTAGTGACGACCATGCTTGATGGCATGTTCTAGAAGATCTCTTTTTAGAGAAGTTGAAAGATCTTTAAAAAAAATCTTTACATATAAATATATATATATATTATTACCCTCTAGCCTTCTCTTTGTTTTATATAAACACAAAAATTTTGAAATCTCCAAATTTAGATTATTTCAAAATTAGATTACCTCGCTGCTTTTAATGTTTCTTCTGCTAGACCTTCTTCTTTTACTAGTTCTTCGAAATTTACAATATCTTCAAGATCAGGCACAAACCTAGAAAAGAATTTGGGAAGGAATTCATTAGACAAGTAAAATATGTGTAATATGTGTAACTTACACAGATATGAAGTGTAGGAATTAGAGGACTCTAAAACTTTCAACTATGTATTTAGGGGAAAAAAACGGCATTTCAAGTAATATTATTTAGTACTTTAGTTTCAAACTGAATTTTAGGCATGAATAAATTTTAATCCTTAAAATACATAATCTTTAGATCCATTCATAAACCATACTGACAAAATTAATTAACCATAACCTTAAGAGAAAAAAAGATTTTCAAATGTCTGTAGCAGTTTAAAAATTAAGGGAGAAAAAAAAAAACTAACTACTAGAATTATTTTCTTCCACGCTTTATCTCAAAATACATCAAGAACAAATATCGTCTCTACAATATCACTTATAACAAACAGACTTAAATGACATAATTTTTAAATGGCATAAACAAGGCAAAAATGATGTTTGCATCCATACCTAATGGCATTGCTGCTACAATGAAGACCACCAGATCTTATCATTCGTACATAGCCCATAGCATTACCTAAAAAACACACACACAAAAAAATCAGACATTGATATAAATAACTATACTCGGATAACCAGGAATACAATTATATACAATTATAAGGTTTCTACTTCTAAACAACGAAATAATCTTTTACTTCAGTTCTTGGTCCATAAAAAGTAAAACATATTTTTATACTTAAAATAGAAACACACACACTTATATACATCTGCATTAGGTATTTTAAAATGTTTTCATCTGATAATAATCATTAAGTGTTAATTACATTACGATAATCAAACACTTTTAAATTCACTTCACTCTCACATTGAGTCAGTCTCCTCTCTGTCTCTCAAACACAACTGTGGTTGTTTCAAGAAATCTTTATGCCTCCCTGATTTCTCTCTCTCTAGCCCAACTCTAGGCTTTTTTATCCAATGCCTACACCTATGTGTCTAAGAAGAATTTGTAATATGTGCAAATCAAACTCAAAATCTTTATCTCCGATTTTGCTTTCTACCTTGGAAACTGGCAATTCTATCCTTCTAATTGCTCAAACCAAATGCTTTGAAGTCATCCTTGACTCTTCTTTCTCTAACACTTGGTAACTAATCACTTGGCAAATTATGTTGGCTCTGGCTTGAAAAATGTAACCAGAATGCAAGTACTTTTCACCATCTTCAAGCCACCACCCTATTCCAAACCAATTAGACCACTGCTACCTCCTCCTTTAACATCCTGCTACATACCCCCACCCCAATCTCTTTTCTACGCGGCAGCAAGTGGTTAAAAACTAAGCTGAAACATACAATGCCTTTTCTAAAACTTCTGCAATGGCTTTTCACCTCAAAAATCCCAACTCTTATGTAGTCAACAGGTCCCTCCATGATCTTGTACTTGCTTCATGCCCTCACGCTCAGGTCTTCACTAACTCCATTCTGGCAGACTAGGAACAGCTGCACCTACCTTGACCTCTGCCCAGTACACCCTACCCCTGGATTTACGCCTGGTTTATTCCCTAGCATGATTTAGGTCCCTGCCCAAATATCACCTCCTGAAAGCTTTCCCTGAACACCATGACCTAGCCCCATTACATCTCCTCACCTAGCATGTATCACTGACACCTACCTTTGGTTTGCATCTTCCCCCACTACAACTCAAAATCGTGAGCAGTCTTCAGCTTTGTCACTACTCTACCCTAGAGCTAACATGTCCTGGCATACAGAAGGAAGTCAAAATAAAACTGAACCAAACTGAAATTAATGGAGAGAAAGAACAGATGAAAAGGTAAGAAGTTGACATTTCATAATTACCATAATAAGATATGTTTTGCATAATTATCTCACCTGATGTTTTTAACAACCCTACAAAGCATGTATTATCAGATCTATTTCAAGGCCCATCCCAATAAAAGAGATACGTTCTTTTTAAGGTGCATTTTAGAAAAATCAAGTGTCTAGTTTAATTATTTTTCTCCAAACTGTTGGGCCAAAGTCTGGTTGATCAAAATGCGAGAGAATGTACACAGTAGCAGGTAAAAGCAAAAGCTCTGAAGTCAGACTACCTAGGTTCATATCTAGACTCTGTCACCTGTAAACTATAAGACCTAAGTCAAATTATGCCACCCCTTTGTATTTCACATTCTTTATCTGTTAAATTTAACTCTCTCTCTTTTTTTATTTTTAAGAGAGAGGTTTTTGTTTTAGGGCACGTGCACTCTCCAGAAAGACAAAGAGAGACAGAGACAGAAAACAAGAAAACACCCCATGGGAGTTTGGATATGCCGCAATCCCTTCTCCTCCATTCTCCTCTCGGGATCTTGGGCATACACGCATATACACGCCCAGCATGAGTTTAAACCACCAGGTCCAGGACTCGAACTGCAGTCAACTACATGGAAGTCTAGTGACATAGCCATTACACCAAGTGCTGGTCCCATGTTAAATTAAACTCTCTAATGGCAGAGCTTTTGTTTACTGTCATATGTATCACCAGCACCTAGGAATATTAGTTGTCCTAACTGAATACTTACTTGGTTTTTTTTTTTTTTTTTGGAGAGATTTTCGCTATAGGGCGCTTGCGCTCGCCAGACAGACAGAGAAAGACATAGAGACAGAAAGCGAGAAATCACCCCCCGGGGGGATGGTCACGCCACAATCCTCTCGGGATCTTGGGCACGCACGCACACGCGCCTGGCGTGAGTTTTACGCACCCGGGTCCGGGACACGAACCATGGTCAACTACGTGGGAGTCCAGCGACATAGCCATTACGCTAACTGCTGGTTCCCAATACTTACTTGTTTATGAATGGATATGCTACTTCACAGTGTTATTGTAAGTTTCACGTGTTAAAACATACAGAACATAAAATCAACTATGGCACACAGTAAATGCTCAATAAATGTTAGTACATATTCAGGTTATTAGCTCAAAAGACTTACTACTTTGCTCCCAACTCTGATTTTTTTACTCCTTTTCTCTAAATGTTTAACAGACTGATAGGCACATTATAATGTTTTTAAGCAGAGATAAGGAATTTACATTTTCTAAGAAAAGAATAAAAGAATGAAATGCTGGAACAAAGCTAAAAGGATAATACTCACCAGTTGTGACATGTATGCTGGTGTTAAACAAGGTGGCTTTGGATGGCAGCCAAAGAACATTTATTGTAATGTATATATATTTTGACATATATTGTAGGAAAATAACTAGCAGAGTAAGATCCATAATTTAACAACTCATTTTTTTAATCTCTTTTTTTATTTACTTATTGCCAGAGGGTATGTGCACTCACCAGAGAAAGAGGGACAAAGAGAAATGGAAAGGGAAAAAGCAGTCCTCTCAATGGGCATGGTCACTCCGCAATCCCTTCTCCTCCATTTCTCCAGCTTGTCGGGATTTGGGATGCAGAAGTACATGGTGTGTTTCTCAAGACACCAGAGCCAGAATTTGAACCACACATGGCCACATGGGATCTATAACCTTAACCACTAGGATATGAGGCTGGCCCAACAACTGTTACTTCTTAAAAAAAAATTATACTTTAAAAAAATGTTAAAAATATAAAATAAATAACAATACAGGCAATATTCACATGAGGCAAAAACTCTTGATACTGGTATATGAATTAACAAAATTTAAGCAACATTACTCTAGAAGAGCAGTTCTTATCTGAGGTCCATAATCCCAGTTTAATTACCTATATTCCCCTGTTGCATATAAAATTTATGTGTTCGTGAACACATGCATTACTTAGTTTTCAAGAACTTCTCAAGAAAGGGTTAAATGCTACTGCTCTAAAAGTTCTAGCCAATATGATATCAAATGTTTCCATGAAATAAAAAAAAATACAGTGCTTACTTGACAATACCTCATAGTCAATGGTTTAAAATGAAAAGTGTACAAAGGTAAAATTCTCTAAATTCTTCTACTAAAACATAAAAGAAGTGTCTAATAGGCAAATCAATTTATTTATAAAAGTTAAGCTAGCATCAGTGACTTTATTACAGAACTAAATGCTTTTAACGCTTTCCACTAGTAAATTGAAAGCCCCTTGAGAATAAAGGTTACCTGTCTCCCGACCACCCATTATCTTTAGACAGGGATGTCAGACTGTGAAATATAATGTGCTATATTTCAGAAGATAAGCTCTGGTTGTAAAGAGGATAATAAATTATATGCACAAGTATAAAATGGTGTAGCACAGAAAAATATAATGTTCAATATTTTGTCTTTAAATCTATAGGTAACATTTTTTAACTTAAATTATTAACTTTTCATATAAATGTTTTATATAAAATATCTGCATTCAGACTGTAACTGGAGGGAAGCTCTTTTTAAAAGCCCAAATATTGCCTTCAGCAAAACAGATAGTAAGTACTTACTAATTGACTAATTATGAATATGATCTTTGAAATGAATTAGTTATTGAATATAATTTTAATTTAATTGAAGAGATTTCATTAAACTATATCAGTCTATAATCTATCAATTATTTCTGCAGCAGCATTCTAATCATACTTATTTTTTTGGGTTAAGAAAAGAAAATCACTCTAGTGGAATAAAGCTCAGGTCAGGCACTCAATAATACATTTATTCAGGGGCCAGCAGGTGGTGTGGTGGTTAGGGTGCTGGTCCCACATGGCCAACTATACTATTTGAGTCCCAGACCCAGTGGCCTGAAAATCACACTGGGCACAAAATCCCAAGAGGAGAATGGAGGAGAAGGGATTACAGTGTGGCCATTGCCCCTGGGGAGTAATTTCTCACTTTCCCTTTTTCTCTGCCTCCCTCTGGTAGGTTCGTATGTCCTATAGAAGAATCTAAAATAATAATGGTAATATTAATACTGAGGTGTTAATCAATGAGATATTTAATATATAAGACAGATTCTCAGTATTTTAGTTCCAAATACTCTTAACAATAACTTACCAATCTGGCTGATGAGTTGCCTGAACTGATCAAGGTAGCTCTGTCCTTCTGGTGTTATTCCAAGTTTTCTAATGCCACGATTAAATTTTTCTGCTCTATCAAAGGGATACTAGAGAGATAGTTTTAGGACTACTTTTAATAAAGACCTTATAAAGCATAAAATATCTATCAAATCAACCATGCCCATTATTGGTCTCCTTTATAAATCTGTATTTTATTGTGCTTTTAAAAATAATCACTCCATGCTCAGGATACTGAGAGGAAAATGAAGAAGGGTTTGCATTGTGGTCATCCCCGCAGAGGGTGATTTCGTACTTTTCCTCTCACTGTTTCTGTCTATCTCTCTCTCTCTCTGGTAAGTGTATACACCCAAAGGCAAAAGCCTCTAAAAAATAATAATTATAATCACTCCAGTCTAATAACGAAACTATAGAACAAAAACTTCAAGTGCTTGGCCCACAAGGTGCTATGGAGGTTAAAGCGCCTGGAACCCACATGGCCAATGGCATGGTTCAAGTCCTGGACCCAGCATCTTGAAAATCATGCTGGGCGCATATGCGTGCATGCCCGAATTCCGAAGAAGAGTGTAAGAGAAAGGACTGCAGCATGGCCATCCCTCCTGGAGACGTTATCTGACTTTTCCTCTCTCTGCTTCTATAGCTGTTTGGCAAGCCCATGTGCCCTTTTGGCTCTTCCGCAAAAAAAAAAAAAAAAAAAAAAAAAAATTAAATTAAATTAAAAATAAAGAAAAAACTTCCAGTGTTTAAAGTCAACATAAATTAGATTTTGCCAGAGGGCTGGAAGTAAATCTTAAGAAGGGTAATTACAATAATTCTACTTATGGCAAATCAAACATAGATCCCATCTAAGCCTGCTGGTTATCTACCTACATGGTTACTATACTGTCTGTATGCAATAGTAACTCAATGAGTTCTTCAGATCATTACGGAAAATTCAGCCTGTAGAGTAAAGGGAAAACAGCACTCAAATAAATCATTAATGGGAATGTCTACAGTGCAGTATTTCTGGAGTGCCTGACAATATGTACCAGACTTTGAAATACTCATTCTTTGTTCTGGAAATTTCTCAAAGATTGTTTCAGAAATAATCTCCAATTACACAGAGAAAGATGTGTATGGAAGTTACATGTTAAATAAGTTATACAGATATACTATCAACTCTTTTAAAGAGAATGAATTAGGTTTATATGTATTGAACACAATGTAAAACAACATGTATACTGTTATAAAAAAGCAAATGTACATGTGCAAATATATGCTTATCGTTACAATATCTGCATTACATCACACTACACACTGTTAACAGCAACTGCCTCCAAAACAACGAATTGGGAAAAAGAAACATGAGGACATGTTCAATATAGAGTACATCAGTCTATGCACTCTATTGTCTGTTTCAAAATGAGCATGTACTGCTTCATGTATTATTTTAAAATAAATTAAGAAAAGTAACACCTGGCTACATTAGTTATTAAATTTTCCTTATGCTTACAGCTACAAAGAATGAAAAGAATAGGAAATTGTAAGGTTAAAATATAAAGAGGTTGGAAGGTCAAATCTAGGAGACATGTTAAAAAAAAAAACAAAGAAAACTAAAACTCCTTCATAGAGATCTAAATAATGCATGTTAGTATAAATATCTGCCATATACTCAACAGTTGAAATGAATTACCTTTAAAAAAATATGCAGCATACCTTATGATCATTTTGGTCTTTGATTTCCCTGAAAAACCGAATATCTTTAATCAATCTGGACTTGATATGTTCATCATACATAAATTGGCTAAATATATAGAACTTCTTTTTCAAAAACTGGTAAGTGAAATTAACCTATAAAAGAAAATTTGAAAAAAGTTAATATAAAATTAATTTCAAGTCAATATTACTGAATAACAATCATTTAAAAGTACTACTTAAAAAGTCTAATTTCTGTTGGGCCTGAAATATTTAAACAAGGTTTTTATCACAGAAATTTACAGATTTTTGATGAGTTCCTTTTATATATTTTTATTTTGAAAAATGAAAAATACTCTCATGATAGGACTAAGAATTGTACTAGTAATCAACCAGACTCGAGACCCGAGTTTATAAACCACAGTCAGAAGTCTCTGTGCTCCTCATGCAGGAAGATCCTGTATTAGTAATCTACGTGTCTAGAATGGGGACTAGAGAGACTCGGTACCCGCTGAGCTTTCCTGAAGAAACACACTAAACACACAATTTCTTACCCATGAGTATTTCTGAACCCCTCTTACATGCAAGGTTATGTGCCTGCTCTCATGCTAGACATGACATTTACCCTCATGAAGTTTGACATTTTAGAATGGGAGACAAGTATTATTAAATAAGTTACTAAATCTCAGCTGTAATGATTTGTAAAAACGAAAAGTGAGGGTGCTTTGAGAATGAGTAACAAAAAGCCCTAGACCTAAACTCAGAAAATCCTGAGAAAGTAAGATCTGAGCTGAGATTAAAGTCAAAATAGCACAAGGTTAATCTAACCTGCGGGTACAAGTCCTATACCCACTTCCATCCCCATCAGCCTCACATATTACTCATGGTTTTGGCAACTCCGTCTCCTTTGCACTCAGTCTTCATGTATCCAGTCGCAGAAGCGAACGCTTTCTCAGCACGTTCCTTGTGGCTGAAACACTACTTCCCTTGCACTTCTTACTGCCTTTGCAGTCTTTTCTGTATCTTAGTAGTGGGTAACTGTCACCTGGTCCTTATCCTTCCACACTTACTTTACCGACAAGCATCACTGACCTACATTCGTTAGTCTGATTAACTGAGTCTATATCCCTGTCATTTCCATGAGAGCAGGAAATGTCTATTTTCCTCACTGAAGCAATCAGCACAGTGTCTTAGACACATAAAATACACTCATAATATGTTACAAAAACAAATACTTGATAAATGGAGAAGTCAAGGAAGAGTTTATTTTCAAAGTTCAGAGTTCATTTGTCCTCAAGAGCTCAGAAATAATCTGGATAACTCCTAATTTTAAATTTAAAATTATGTCTCATTTCTGTGTTGATAACCACTAACCTTATCATTCATCAGCTCAAAACCTTTCAGTGCCTTTCCTACTGCATACTATTGGATCATTTGAGAAGTCATGACACATTTTTGCAAAGAAAAACACATGATTTTTCAGATGACCCATAAGATGATCCCAATCTAATTTTACAGTCTTTTATTACTTCACACTTACTCTGTTTGATAATATTTTACTATTTATGGGACTAGCAGATGGTGAAATGGTTATGTCACTGGGCTCTCACATAGTAGACGGCGGTTTGTGTTCCAGACCCAGCAGCTTAAAACTCACGCCGGGCATGTGTATATGAGTGCCCAAAATCCCAAGAGAAGAATGGAGGAGAAGGGACTGTGGTGTGGCCATCCTCCCTGGGGTGGTGATTTCTCGCTTTCTGTCTCTCTCTTGATTCTGGCGAGCACACATGCGCTATAGCAAAAATTTCTCTAAAAATAGTAGTATTTTACTATTTAAGCATTCACACTCTATTTCACTTAAAGATAATTTTTTTAGAGAGATTTTTGCTATACGTACTTGTGCTCACTGGAGAGACAGAGACAGGGAAACAAAAAGCAAGAAATCACCCCCTCTGGGTGGGGGGGGGATGGCCATGCCACAGTCCTTTCTTCTCCATTCTCCTCTGGGGATTTTGAGCATGCACACACACGTACCCACCATGAGTTTTAAGCTGCCAGATCTGGGACTCCAACAGCATTCAACTATGTGGGAGTCCACTGACGTAACCATTACACCATCTGCTGGTCCCAAAAAGAAATGAACTGTGCCCTGAAAACCAAGTAAATTCAAAGACTTATCTTTTTCCACAAAGGGAAAATAACATCCAAATTTAAGTAACTGAATGCCCATTTCTAAGAATATTCAAAATATTTTCAGTAAATTTGTTATACATCAAATTATTGGTAACTCCTTCCAAAAGAGGTACAAATAAAGTTACACAAACTGCTATCAATGATTTTTCAAAAGTAATTTCCAGGAAACATGAGATCAAGAGTTATGTATACATACATATATACACACAACACACCTCAAATCGCCAATGCTGTTTATAATGAGGCCCTGAGACAGTAAGATATCCTAAAGTACCTTTTCCCTCAGAGCACTCATCATATACAACACAATTTTAGTGCCAGATCTTTCAAATTACACCAACCAGGAAAAACAAAACAAAACAAAACACCCAGATCTTCAAGTATAATATAAATGGGCAGTAATACATGTCTACAAGAACATTCTAAGAAAACTGTTCTGAACTATTAAATTAAACATGGGTCTATTATCCACCCAAATCCCCAATTCTTACTGTTGTATTCATGATTCCTGTGCCATGTGTTCGAATTGAATTAGCAATATGTCGAATATTAATAGTATTCAAATGTTTGTTATTGCTTGTTCGTTCAATAAAAATCTGTAACAGAACAAATTTATGTTTAATAACAGCATAATCCATAGCAAACACTGGTCAGTCAGTTATCCAAAGAGAATTTTAGAATTTAGTTCACTAAAATAATTTAATTACAAAGCCACTCAAGAATATAGCACAATTGAAGCAAAAGAATAAACAAGCTTAATAACAATTATTTTTTGGTTTGGTTATTTCACTAATTTTCACCCTTTAGAATCAATTTTTTGCCCCTTAGCCTTCCCTTACATGTTCACCCACATTTTAAAAAATGTCCAAAATCAACTCACCTGATTGTTGAGATTATAGAGGTATCGAGACACAAAAATATGAATGTTTCTCATAATTTCCAACACATCAAGGCCCTGTAACACAATCCACATGGTTCCATTATCAGTTAAAGAAAATCAGTTAAACTTGTATCAGTATAATGATATTGATTATATGAAGCTTCCTAATACTTTTTTAAAAATTATGCCAGAAAGGGGCTGGCAGGTGGCGTGGTGGTTAAGAGCGCTGGACTCCCACATGGCTGACCATGTTCGATAACATAATTCTTAAAAAAAAAATAAAAGCTGTCTAGTCTCTAGATAATTAAAAAAAAAAAATTATGCCACAGGGCGTGTGTGCTCCTAGGAGAGAGAGAGGGGAAGAGGGAAAAAAGCACCCCTGCAATGGGTGCACCACAATCCCTTCTCCTCCATTTCTTCATCCTGTTGGGATTTGGGGCAAGCACATGTATGCAGCCAGCCTGTTTTCCCTTTTTTCTTTTTGGTTTTTGAGAAGTTTTTTCTTTACAGTGAGTGTACTCACTGGGCAGGAAGAGAGACACAGTGAGAGAAAGTGAGAAATCACTCCCCAGGGGAGTGGCCTCACTGCAATCTCTTCTCCTTCATTCTCCCATTCTCCTCCCAGGATCCTGGGCACCTTATACTTTTTTAAAAATTATGCCAGAAAGGGGCTGGCAGGTGGCGTGGTGGTTAAGAGCGCTGGACTCCCACATGGCTGACCATGTTCGATAACATAATTCTTAAAAAAAAAATAAAAGCTGTCTAGTCTCTAGATAATTAAAAAAAAAAAATTATGCCACAGGGCGTGTGTGCTCCTAGGAGAGAGAGAGGGGAAGAGGGAAAAAAGCACCCCTGCAATGGGTGCACCACAATCCCTTCTCCTCCATTTCTTCATCCTGTTGGGATTTGGGGCAAGCACATGTATGCAGCCAGCCTGTTTTCCCTTTTTTCTTTTTGGTTTTTGAGAAGTTTTTTCTTTACAGTGAGTGTACTCACTGGGCAGGAAGAGAGACACAGTGAGAGAAAGTGAGAAATCACTCCCCAGGGGAGTGGCCTCACTGCAATCTCTTCTCCTTCATTCTCCCATTCTCCTCCCAGGATCCTGGGCACCTACCATACTCACCTGGTGTGATTTTCAAGTTGGGGACTTGCACTGTGCTTGGCCATGTGGGAGTCCAGTGATATAACTGCTACTCTATCTGCTGTCCTCCTCACCCCCGCAGCCCATTTTTCAAGGCACGAGGGCCAGAATTCTAACCAAAGCCATAGGAGCTAGCTCCCTTAACCACCACCGCCAATATGTTTAACTTATTTTAAAGAACTATATAAAAGATGTGACCAAAAGTTAAAAGAGCCTTCTGGCAAGAAAAATCAGGACTATGTTCTTGGAGAAACCTGGTTGGTTGCCTATTATTTTATCTTGTCTCCATAGACAGGATGGTTCAGTTTAAACATTCAAAAACCCATGACCCAGGGAACCAGCAGTTAGCGTAATGGCTATGTTGCTGGACTCCCACGTAGTCGACCAAGGTTTGAGTCCCGGACCTGGTAGCTTGAAAATCACACCAGGCATGTGTTTGTCCATGTCCAGAATCCCGAGAGGAGAATGGAAAAGAGATCATGATATAGTCATTTTCCCTGAGGGTGTTATTTCTCACTTTCCCTCTTATTTTTGTCTGCGGGGGGGCCATGCGCCCTATAAGGAAAAAAACCCCTCCAAAAAAAAAAAAAATCCATGACCCACAATTATCCCTCTGTCCCTCTGATCCTTGAGAATATCTGTCTCCCTAAGGAGCTTTTCTACTTTATTTTTTTTTAACAAAATAAACTAATGATGAGTTTCTAAAAGATAACCAGGATATGTTATAAGATTTTATAAATACATACCATTGGGGCAAGCAAGTAGTTAAGGCACTGGACTCACACATGGCCGACCGCCGTTCGAGTCCTGGACTCAACAGCTTGAAATTCATGTCAGGCATGAGTGTGTGCATGCCCAAAATCCCTAGAAGAGAATGGAGGAGAAGGGATTGCGGCATGGCCGTCCCTGTGGAGGGTCGGGAGGGTTAATTTCTCACTTTATCTCTCTGTCTCTTGGGTGAGCACACATACCCTATAGCAAGCAAGCAAGCAAGCAAGCAAGCAAGCTCAGAGAGTCCTCTGAAGTAAAATTGTTAGGAAAAGGCAGAATCCTAGGACTATGGGAAATCTAATGCCAAATTTTTATGCTTTTGATTTCTCTAGACTACCTCTTCAAAAGTATCTTTTTTGTTGTTGTTTATAAGCCAAAAGGCACATGTGTTTGCCAGATAGAGATAAAAAGAAAGAGGAGGGAAAGCACTTTCTAGTCAAGTATGGTTATACCATAATGCCTTCTCCATGTCTTTATCCTATCAGGATTTGGAGCACACACACACACACACACACAAGTCCTGCAAGTTTTTCAAAGCCACTGGGGCCAAGATTTGAATCCCACCATCAAGTGGGATCTAGCTTAACCACTTGGCCATGTCACTGACCCCATACTAGTTTCAATGCACGAAGTATATACCAAGAATCTTTCATTTTATAGATAATATCCGACTGTATAGATTGTTCCATAGCTTTTCTACTTAGGGCTCAAAGTAGCATAACAATACCTCTTTGATTCAAAATTTTCATTATAGCTTTTATCATTTTTAAGCTACAAATCATTAACATTTTTTTCTCCCACTAGGTAAGTACTTGAGCTAAATCTCTTTATATTTATCTCTGTATCTTTAAACATAGTTCAGGGGCCAGCAGGTAGAATAGTGGTAAAGGCACTAGACTTCCATATGGCTGACAGTAGTTCAAGTCCCGGACTGTAAGGCTTGAAACTCGTGCCAGGTGTATGTGCATGCATGCCCAAGATCCCATGAAGCGAATAAAGGAGAAGGGATTGCAGCATGGCCATCCCCTATGGGGTGATTTCTCACTTCTTCTCTCTCCATCTCTTGGGCAAGCACACGTGCCTAATATATCTCTCAAAAATAAAAATAGTTCAGTGCCTAGCAAGTTCCCAACAAATATTAAACATATAAAAAGAAATCAAAGAAAGGATATACAAACTGATCCTAGAAATAATCCCTATAAGTAGCAGAATGAAGGAAAAATTAAGATCCTCAAATTTTGGAACTAAATAAATGTGGTTTTTTTGATAAGTATCATAAGGATTATCTTAGAAAGAATTCCATTCAAATCAGCTGATAACATAAACTACTCATGAAATATGGCTATATTGTAAATTAGCTAACTGAATTAGCAAAGCTAAGAGCTACTTTTCACTCTTCATTTTAAAAACAAATACACTTGGGGATCAGCAGATGACAAATGGTTACGTAGCTGAACTCCCACAGTTGACCACAGTTTGATTCCCAGACCTGGTGACTTGAAACTCACACCAGGAGCATGTGCATACATGTCCAAAATCCCAACAGGAGAATGGAGAAGAAGGGATTGTGGCATAACCATCCCCCCAGGAGGTGATTACTCGCTTTCTGTCTCTCTCTGTTCAGAGAATGCATACACCCTATAGCAAAAATCTCTCTCAAAAACAAAACACTTATAGTCATATAAATTCAATCAGATTTAAAGATATCAAAGTTTATATACTATATCTGGGTTTAAAATCTGTAACTGTGATCTTTACTGAACTTATAATTTTGCCAAACTCACACATGCTAGTCTTTCTAAAAGGCTGTATATACATCTACAGATATTTCAAATGCCCAATCGACAACTGAGTGTAAACAAAAATCCTATGCTAACTTCTTTCATAAAGCAAATTAGCGGCATCTAATTTTTTATTCTTGACAAGTATAAGGTTTTATAATGGCAACTATTCACCTAAAAAAGAAACGTATACTAAATCAAAGAAAAAGAAGAAAAAAGTGTCCTAAAACACAGTTACACTACTGTTGGACTATGCTAAAAATGTTTTATACTGTACCTGTTCCAAAGTCTGACTAGGAAGATGTGCCTCCGTCATAACCAATCCATAACGCTGAGTAGCTAAATTTCTCATTTCACTGTAAGTTGCCCAGTCATGAAGAGCTACTGTTGTTAGATTGTAGAAAGTCTTGTCTAAGTAGTGAGTTACATAAGCTACAAAGAAGAAAAAAGGGGGGGGGCAAAGAATTTTTGATTCAGGACAGAGTAGAAAAGGAAGCAAAGTAAAATCCCAAAAGGAAAACACATCCCCCAGAGGGATGATTTCTCGCTTTCTGTCTCCCTGGGAGATATGTGGCCATCCCCCAGAGGATGATTTCTCACTTTCTGTCTCTTTGCCTCTCTCTGTTTCTCCAGTGAGCGCACACACCCTGTAGCAAAAACTCTCTAAAATAAATTCTTTCTTTAAAATAGGTACTAAAAAATTAAAATGAGAAAAGAACAAAATGGAATTAAAGAATAAATGAACTAACACAGAAAAGATACCCTCAAAGTTTTCTTTTGGTTATTTTGAATAGGTAAGAGATGTAGCATATATAGATACAGAATCCACTCACTCACCTCGAATATCAATGAAACGATCGAAAAACCGAATTGGATTCAGGGAGAAAAAAAGGGCCAGGTCTTTCATGCCAACTTTGAAAGGGTTCCGGTCATCCAGCTTTAAATGAGTATGCACAGAAAGTCGCAGATCTTTCTCTATTTCTTTGCACAACTTGTCCAGCAAATGCTATTTGTCACAAAAGAATTGATACTTGTAAATTTTCAAAATAATATTCTAATCATATTGTTTTCCTACATTTCTATGCTTCAACTTTTAGAATTTTACAGTCAGTATGTTGATTTAAAAAAACTGTCAAACTGATTTTTGTGTTTAAGACTCAAAATACTATATTGGGTCATCGGAAAAGTCATGACGTATTTTTTTATGTTTTTCTAGGTAAAAATGTGTCATGACTTTTCTGAAGACCCTATAAATAAATGGTAAAAAACTTTACTTTTTTGGGGAAAGCTAAGATTATTTTGTTTTTCATTTTAAAGCAATGAATTTTTCAGTCAGGGAGCAGATACATATACTGTAAGTCTTTGTTTTCATGAATACTTGAGGCTTAACTCTCTTGAAAAAATTCAAAAGCTAATGATTGATGGCTTCATAAAAGGAATATGAACATGGAACACAGCATAAAATTTATAGGAACTAGCAACGGAGGAAGAAGGTTCTGAGAACATGCGAGAAGAAAGGAAAAACGAAAACGCTTTTTTGCAAAATAACCACAAAATTCATTGTGCTAAGGTAATGAAATGAATTATCTTTTCAGTCTACCACAAAGTTCCAAAACCAGGCCAGACATATATTTTATTTTTCAAATAAGAATATTTAATATAAAAGATCGTATAATTTTTTTTTCTCATTTCATAAAACCCAAGTAGATCTATATTGCAAAGTTTATCCATTTTTAATTCATTTCTCCAAATAAAAATATTGCTAGATGGAAAATTTAAAGTTATCAGTGTTTATAATGCTTCATTAAAACAAAAAGGAAGGGTTAGCAGTTAGCGTAATGGCTATGTCACTGGACTCCCACGTAGTCGACCGCGATTCGTGTCCCGGACCCGGTGGCTTAAAACTCACGCCGGGCGCGTGTGCGTGCGTGCCCAAGATCCCGAGAGGAGAATGGAGGAGAAGGGATTGCAGTGTGACCATCCCCCCTGGGGGGTGATTTCTCGCTTTCTGTCTCTATGTCTCTCTCTGTCTGTCTGGCGAGCGCACGCGCCCTACAGTGAAAATCTCTCAA